GGGGCGGGCGCCGGGTTCAGCACCTCGGAGAGCGCCCCCGCCGCCGGGTCCACGCATGCTCCGTGGGAGCGCGCGGCCGGCGGTGCGGGCGCCGGTGCCGCTGGGCGCGCGGTGGGCACCGCGCAGGGAGCGGAGGAAGCGGAGGCGCGGGCAGCGAAGGCGACATCCACAGACCTCCGCAGTCAGAGCGGGGAGACGGAGCTCTCCGATCTCCTCTCCTCCCGAAGGACAGAGACCCGCCGAGCCGCAGAGGAGACCCGCCGAGGTACTGGGAGGAGGAGGAGCGGGCCCCGGCCAGCGGACAGCGCGCTGGAGCCCCAGTGACAGCGGGGACCCCGGAGCCGCCCAGGACCGTCGGGCGCCCGCCGATCGCCTGAGGAGCTGCGGTCCCCGGCTCTCCTCCTCCCTCCGGAGCAGGAGCTGCGGTCCTAGGCTCTCGTCCTCCCTCCTCCCTCCTCCCTCCGGAGCAGGGGCCGTGGTCCCCGGCTCTCCTCCGCCCTCCGGGGCAGGCGGAGCGCATCTCCCGTCTCCAGCGCCCCATCCGCGCGACCCCGTTCCGAGGCGCCCCATCCCCGAGGCGCCCCACCTCCGAGGCGCCCCACCTCCGAGGCTCCCCAGCTCCGAGGCGCCCCATCCTCGTGGCGCCCCATCCCCGAGGCGCCCCATCCCCGAGACTCTCCACCTCCGAGGCGCCCCATCCCCGTGGCGCCCCATCCCCGAGGCTCCCCACCTCCGAGGCGCCCCAGCTCCGAGGCGCCCCATCCCCGAGGCGCCCCAACTCCGAGGCGCCCCACCTCCGAGGCTCCCCACCTCCGAGGCGCCCCATCCCCGAGGCGCCCCAACTCCGAGGCGCCCCACCTCCGAGGCTCCCCACCTCCGAGGCGCCCCATCCCCGAGGCTCCCCAGCTCCGAGGCGCCCCAGCTCCGAGGCGCCCCATCCCCGAGGCTCCCCAGCTCCGAGGCGCCCCATCCCCGAGGCTCCCCAGCTCCGAGGAGCTCCAGCTCCCAGGCGCGCGCTCCGGCGGCTGCTCCGGACGCTCCCCGCCCGGCCCGCGCCCGCACCCCAGGCCCGCACGCCGGGAGCCGGACGCCCTCTGGGTCTGGTCCCCGGAACATGCCCTAGAGGCCCCCGCACCGCAGGTGGCCGCTGCCGCCCCAGGAGCCACCATGAGCGCAGCCGCGGGCGGGGCAGCGCTGGCGGGACTCTCCGGGCGGGTCCCGGACCCGCTGCGGGAGGCGGAGGCCAACGCCAGCGCCAACTCCTCGCTGCCGCCGCGCGGGGCCCTGCGGTGGGAGCTGGGGCCGGAGCCCCCCGAGGGCGCGGCGGCCGGGCTCCTCCCGGGCGGGGGGCCGGGGCCCGGGGACGCGGCGGAGGCGCGGGTGCGGCTGCTGCTGAGCGCCGCCTACTGGGCGGTGTGCGCGCTGGGGCTGGCGGGCAACCTGCTGGTGCTCTGCCTGCTGCGCTCCCGGCGGGCCGGCCGCGCCTCCGCCATCCGCCTCTTCGTCACCCACCTGGCGCTCACCGACCTGCAGTTCGTGCTGACCCTGCCCTTCTGGGCCGTGGAGCACGCGCGGGACTTCCGCTGGCCCTTCGGCGGCGCCATGTGCAAGCTCGTGTCCCTGGCGACGTCGGTGAACATGTACGGCAGCGTCTTCTTCCTCACCGCCATGAGCGTGGCGCGCTACCGCTCCGTGGCCGCGGCCCTGGGGCGCCGCGGGGGCCGGGGCTGCGGGGGCCGGGCTGCGGGGGCCCGGGCTGCGGGGGCCGGGGCTGCGGGGGCCGGGGCTGCGGGGCCGGGCTGCGGGGGCCGGGGCTGCGGGGGCCGGGGCGCCCGGGCGCTGTGCGCGCTCATCTGGGCGGCGGCCGTGCTGGCCTCGCTGCCCAACGGCCTGTTCGCCACCGCGGTGCCCGTGCTGGGCCAGGAGCTGTGCCTGCTGCGCTTCCCGGGCCGCGGGCAGTTCTGGCTGGGCCTCTACCACCTGCAGAAGGTGCTGCTGGGCTTCCTGCTGCCGCTGGCCGTCACCAGCCTGAGCTACCTGCTGCTGCTGCGCGCCCTGGCCGAGCGCCGCGTGGCCGCCGCCCCCGGAGGGGCCCCCGAGGCCCGGGGGGGCCTGGCCGCCGCCGCCAGCGCCCGCAGGCGGTCCCGGGTCACCCGGTCGGTGAGCGTCCTGGTGCTCGCCTTCTTCCTGTGCTGGCTGCCCAACCAGGCGCTCACGGCCTGGGGCGCGCTGGTCAAGCTGGGCGCCGCGCCCTTCAGCCGCGCCTTCTTCCTGGGCCAGGCCTACGCCTTCCCGGCCAGCGTGTGCCTGGCACATGCCAACAGCTGCCTCAACCCGCTGCTCTACTGTCTGGCGCGCCGCGACTGCCGCCGGGCGCTGCGGGCGCTGCTGGGCCGCCTGGCCAAGCCCTCCCTGCCCGGCCTGGCGCGCCCCTGCACCGCCTCCACCCGGCCGGACCCCGGGGACCCCGCGCCGCCCGGCCCCGCGCCCCGCCGGCCGCCCGCCGAGCCCGAGCCGCGCTTCTACCCGCCGGGCGCGGTGGTCTACAGCGGAGGGCGCCAGGACCCGCTGCCCAGCAGCTCCGCCGGCTGACCGGGCGCAGGGGAGAGGGCAGGAGAGAGGAAAAGGGGGTGCCTGCTGGGGGCAGGGGCAAAGGGTTGGCTCAGACCGGGAGGCTTCCAAACCTAGTGGAGAGGAATCTGGCGGGGCTGGGGGGCCAGGTCAGCCTCTGGGGGAAGGGAAGGAAGGCCACGGACCTCCGCCCCTTCCCCAGGCACCTCTCCTGGCCTCAGGCCTCCGGTGCTGGGCAGGTGGGGGACCCCCTGCAGAGGAGAAGGCGCTTGGGGCGCCAGGAAGTGTGGCTCAGCCAGATGGAGCAGACAATCCAGCGCATTTATTCCAGCGACTTTTCCGGAGCCCTGGAAAGCGTCCTCTAGGCGTATCCAGCGGGGCGCCCACCCCAACCCCTCTCCTCTGGTCTGGCCAGGGGGCTGCCCCGGGGGGAAGGTCTGATCTGCATGGCCTTGCGGGCAGCCTGGAGTTTGGGGACAGGAAACTTTTCCCGTTGGGAGAAAGGAGTGACAATCGCTGCCCCAGGAGGAAAGCACGCGAGAGGCACCCCCTGGGACTTAATCATCCCATCAGGCTCTGCTGGACCTCAGGCTCTGCTGGACCGCTGCCCTCCCATGGCCTGGGCAAAACAACTGTATCCTCGGAGCAGAGCCATTGGCTGGGGCTGGGGGCCGTGTGACTATGGGCTGGATAGAGACCTCCTCGGCTACTGCCTCCAGGAAAGGGGCTCACGGGCTCCCTTAGTAACAGCAGGAGGTGAATGCGGCCCCAGGAAGCCTGGCTCTGGCTTCTCCTGAGAGCCCCTTGGTGCCTGGGACACTGTGCCCCCAATCTGTGCCCTGCAGATGGGCAGCAACTTGAAGAGGTCTCAGTAGAAATGCTGTTGTGAGGGGGGACTTTGAATATTTAAGTGTGTGTGTGTGTGTGTGTGTGTGTGTGAGAGAGAGAGAGAGAGAGAGAGAGAGAGAGAGAGAGAGAGAGAGAGAGAGAGAGAGAGAGAGAGAGGATGTTCTAGCTCCCTTCCTCACCCCAGCAGCCCGCCCAGTGTCCATCTGAAAAGAGCTTCGTGTGTAATAAAGCCCATGCCCTGTGGTTGGCCTGAGGTGACTGATTCTGACTTCTTGGGTCTGGGTAAGATGGCCCTTGGCTGTGGACACTCTCCCAGCGGGCCAGTCATTCCTTTCAAAACCTTCACACACACACTAGCCGTGTGTCTGTCCTGGGGGGACGGGGAGGAGACACACACTGAACCCAGGAAACATGCCCTTTGCACCCCTCCCAGAGGGCCAGGTCGGGCAGGCACATGTGGGGTCTTTGAAGGATTCCCCCAGGCTCCCCTCGGTCAGCCGTGGCCTTGCTCCCCTCAGTGGGATGTGTGCTGGGGAGCGGGAGGAAGGCAGGCTGGGAAGACAGAGAAGTTTGCCGTGTGGCTCCCCCAAAAGAATGACTGTACTTGGGAATGGGTGTATGGACAGCACGCAGGGCCTGGCTGGTGGCAGGCTGGGAGAGGGACCTGTGGGGGGAGGGCCAGGCTCAGAGGCCGAGGGGGAACAGCAGGCTCAGGGCGGGGAAGGCAGCCCCCTCGGTGTGTAAATTATGGGGGGCCCGGAGAAAATGGAGTGCCGGTGCTGGCTTCCTGCCGTGTGTCCTGCAGGAAGTGGGAGCAGCGGGAAGGGGTGCCCACTTTGGTGTAAGCCCCCACCCACCCCACACACGGACTAGAGGTGGCCAGATGACAGGGCGGTCCCAGACGCCCACCCCCAGCCAGGCCCGCCACAGGGCTGACAAGCCAGGAGCTGCCGAGTGGCTCTTGGAACGAAAAGGAGGCAATTAGAGAAGCAGGCAATCAAGACAATTGCAGCGCCACCTGGAAGCCGGAGCAGCAGCAGGGAGAGGAGGAGGGTGAGCTAGGGGCTGCAGTTGGTTTGAGGCCCCTGGAGAAGCTGGGAGGGAGGGGGAGGCCCCTGGAGAAGCTGGGAGGGAGGGGGAGACCCCTGGGGAAGCTGGGAGGGAGGGGGAGGCCCCTGGGGAAGCTGGGAGGGAGGGGAGGCTGACGCACAATGACTAGGGGTCCGCTCTCTGGCTGTGCTCTGAGGCTGGTACTGCCCTTGGACCTCCAAGGGGTTTGATAACTAGGGGACTCTGCTCTCCCCTCCACTCCAGCAGCACCCCTCCCCCCCCCACCCCATGGCAATGAGCCCGCACGGCCACCTGGTGCCCGGGCCCCACCTGCATTCTAGATTACACTCCAGCGCCTGGACCTCAGAACCCCATGGAAATGGCCTGAGACCATCTACAAGGCTTGGTGGGTCCTTCCCCAGTCCGTCCCCCAGAGGGTGACTGCAGACTGAGTCTCTGCACCCTGGGGTGTGAGGGGTGGCTGAGGGCGGCTGTTGGCAGGTGTGGTATGGGGGTCAGGGGTGGGAAGACACCCAGCTTGCAGCGGGCAGACCCCAGAGCTGCGGGGCCGAAGGAGAGACGGATCTCCCGTGGCTGAGTGAGGGACACTGTCTCTTTATTGACCTACTGCACGTATCGCACGAAGAGGGCCACAAAGCAGCAGCCCATCAGCGCCACCAGCGAGGCTGAGATCACCACCACGACCACGCTCCCGGCCATGTTGACCAGGAAGCCCAGGCCGCCTCCGACCAGGATCTGGGCCAGCTGGACCATGCAGGTGAGGGTGGCGCAGTCCAGGCCCTGCCCGCGGCCGCCGCCGTCCGGGGCCCCTGCCCGGGCCTTCTGCTTCTGCAAGGGAAACACGGACTGCGTGTGACTGACGGACTGCGTGTGACTGACGGACAGCGTGTGACCGAGCCGGAACGCGCGGGGCAGCCTGGCAGCCTGCCTGGGGGAGCCGGCTGGTAAAGGCTGCAGCTGGTGCCAGCTCCTCGCCTCCCTGCAGGCCCAGGGAGAGTAGCTGCAGCACATTACCCAGCTGCGTTCCAGCACAACCTCACGGGCATGGTGCTTGGGTTTCCTGTCATTTTCACTATACTCCGAATATTATCTTCCTGTTGATTTTTTATAAAAATCACTTGGAAAGTTTTTAGGAATTCTTTGTTCACCGGCCATTCAAAGGCAAGTGGCTGACCACTTTCGGCAAGGAGAGGGGCATAGTTTGCCAAGCCCTGGTTTAAGGTGGCGAAGGATCTTCACCATCTTCCCTACATTCCACGATTAGCGCCTATGGCAGTTAAATGGATAATATACGTACAATTCTCTCTTCCTAAACGCCAGTAAATACAGTGTAGTGAAAACTGTTACCCCACTCTCTCCTTCATCAGTGCTACAAATGCAAACATTTTTAGGAGGATATTAAATCACATATACATAGGAGAAGCAACATAAAAAAGGAACTCAACCTTTCAGAATATGGCTGATTTGGTTAGTATATTAATATTTGATTAATATTTAATATTTGGTCTGAATTGGTTGATAATTTGCCATCTACTGGGTGTCTGTTATGTGCTAGGTTTTTTCACATGTTACTTCATTTCATACTCCTCCACCTCCCAGATGTACATGTTATCATGATCCCCATGGGAATAATAATGATAATAATGCTATCATTTTTTGAGTCTTTGCAGTTGCTAGTTAAGCAGTATGCTAGGCAGATTATCTACACTATCTTGTTCCATTTAATATGTAACAACCCTATAAGGTGGGTATATTATCCCCATTTGATTGATTAGAAAACTGAGGCTCTGAGAGTTTGATAATTCCTGTACTATTAAAGTAAGACAAAAAAAAAATCATTGTGCCCCCCAAATGCATATCACCCCTCAAAGATAAAGGGGAGATAAGAAGACAGATGCCTGTTGCTTAATTTTCATGTAAAAATACTGGAAATATAAACAAAAACCTAAGTGTGGTTACATGTAGGAGCCCGGGGCGGCAGGAGAAGAGTGGAGGGAGGGAGGGGTGCGCCCTCTGTGCCCCACTGGGATTGCTGGACCATGTGTCTGTGTCCCCTCTGTGACCTGCCTTTAGTGACATTTAATAAGCCAGTGAACAACATCCCGTGTCACGCAGCTGCCAAGAGGCGGGCAGGATGTGACGGCTTCTCTGAGTGCAGAGCTTGTGTTTCTGGCCTGGAACCACGGACCACTCTCCTCGGAGGTGCAGGCCCTCGTGGCAGCTGCCTCGTTAAGAGCGGCCCCGCCGGCACTGAAGGCACTGGCCATCGGGGACATGTTCTCCAGGCGTGAGGGCAGCGGAACCCTGGTCCGAAAGGTTTAACCCCGTGCTCTCTGCCTGCTGAGCGTTCGCCAGGCCACAGAAAGGAAGGGGCAGCCTCATGGGCGGGCCTGCAGGGACTGGGTTTCAGGATGGGCTGGATCAAACTCCGCGATACCTCCAGCTTTTACCTCCCGCTCCAGCTAAGGGACTGCATGCCTCCTTTCCCGGGGGTCAAGTTGCATTGTTGGTAAGAAGATGGGGTCATCTTAGAGCAGAAATCCCCAACCTAGCATCCCCTTAGGGCAGGCTAGGGCCCTGCCCTCTGGCCTCCGCTCCGAGGTGGAGGTGGGCAGGCCTCCCTGGGCAGCTGGTGGGTGTGACCGCCTGGGACCAGCTTCTCCCCACGCACTCCAGGCCTGCTTACCACCTCGGGACTTCCACAGAAACGGTGGCCTAGGAAGGTCCTGCCCTCAACCAATAACTCCAGAACCTGCCCCTGCCCCCCATGCACTTCCTCAGCGGCCAGGGACCCAGAAATGCCCAGGGGCACCGGCCATGTGAGGCAGCAGCCAGAAAGCCCGGGCCCCCCTTTCTTGTCTCTGTGGACAGGGCTTCAGAGTGAGGAGGAGGGGCGGGCAGACCTTCATTACATCTGGCTGGCATTTTAGTGCTGCCGTTTCAAGAACCCTTATTTTCCTTACACTTTCCTACCCAACCCCCATCTGAAGTGAGCCTGGAGTCATCGGCCAGGGGCACGCACCTGCTCCTCCCGCTCCTCGCGGTGGTACTCGGCCATGAGGTTGAAGGGCACAGTGTACAGGGTGCTGGACATCACGCCGAAAGAGGCGCACAGGGCCAGCGTGGAGTACACGTTCGGAAAGAGCCCGATGAGGCCCGTGCCCAGGCCGAATAGCAGATACCCCATGAAGTAAAGACCCTTCAGTCCGATGTAGGACACCAGCGCTTTCTGGAAGTCTGCGGGAGGAAGAGAGAGATTACAGCGGCAGCGCCTCGCAATGCTGGCCATTTCACACAATTCCTTCTTTTGCTTTTCTCAGATGCGCTTTTCTCAGGAGCCTTTTTTTTTACAGAGTCTCGAACAAAGAACCTCCTCATCTGTGTTTGACAGCAGCGGGCTGGTGAAATCAGTTTTTAACCCCGAATAGAACCCTAGAAAGGAATTCCTTTCCCACAGAAGGACCAGGCGCTGTTCGGCAGGCAGCAGGGGTGACAATGTTGGCCTTGGCAGAAGAGAGGCAGCAACGTTGGCCTTGGCCATGGCCCTGGGACTGCAGGACGGAGAAGAAAAGTGAGGGTCATTCTCATTCACAGGGTTCTAGCCCCGTGGTCGGCAAACTGCGGCTCAAGAGCCACATGCGGCTCTCTGGCCCCTTGAGTGTGGCTCTTCCACAAAATACCACGGCCTGGGCGAGTCTATTTTGAAGAAGTGGTATGAGAGGAAGTTTAAGTTTAAAAAATGTGGCTCTCTTGCCAAAGCCGGTGTGGCTCAGTGGTAGAACGTCGGTCTGCAGACTGAAAGGTCCCAGGTTCGATTCCGGTCAAGGGCATGTACCTTGGTTGCAGGCACATCCCTAGTAGGGGGTGTGTAAGAGGCAACTGGTCAATGTTTCTCTTTCATTGACGTTTCTAGCTCTCTATCTCTCTCCCATTCTCTCTGTTAAAAATCAATAAAATATATTTTTAAAAAAATGTGGTTCTCCAAAGAAATTCCAATCGTTGTGCTGTTGATATTTGGCTCTGCGGACTAATGAGTTTGCCGACCACTGGTCTAGCCTAACAGGACCTAAATAACAACCCAGGCCACCTTTGGCCCCATGGCCCAAAGTCAGGTTGGAGGAAGTGAAAACCACATGATTTTCCAGAGTGATCCAGGTCATTCCGCTTCCTTACCCTTCCCACTGCTTTTTACCTGAGAAAGAAGCAGAGGACATGCATTGTCTGCAGGCACCTACCCTCTCTTGCCAATCCATTGCCAGCTTCCCACTTCTCTGTGGACAACTTCCTTAACTTCTTAAAACCACTGAAAAGGGGGACTAATACAGATTTTCTTTGGGGTTGCTGTCAGCATCAAATGAGACAAAATTCCTGTGAACTCTCCCAGCCCAGCGCTGAGCAGGCAGAAGACTTTCGGTTAATGGTGGCCACTGTTATTTCGTTGACTCCTGGGTTCCCTCCCAGCAGGTAGACTGGGCTTGCCCGGGAAGGTACTGTGGGCAGTTCATTTTTAAAATTGGAAAATTCTGCTTTAGCGTGTTTTACATTGTTTCCCACCATGGAAAACCTCTAAAAACCTATATTTTCCTTTTTTCAATCAGTTGTCTTTAATACATACAGTCCCATCTTTCCCCTGCCTCTCTGTAATGGAACACGTGGACCCAGAGGTGTGATAGATACTATAAATGAGCCTATTCAAGAGTGAGCTTTTGATGCCCTTCTAAGTAATTATTGGACTTACAATTGCACCAACAATAACCCTAATCTACATTACGTTTGCATCAGTTATGAAGCTGAACATGGTTGTGGGTCATCCCTGGAGGACGGAGCTCTGAAAAGGACAAGAATGTGGCATTGCTTTCCCTGGAGGACTGTTGTCAAGGCTGAGAATGACAGCAGCATAGAGCTGTGTCCGTTACTGTTTGCTTCATGACAGTATCTCTGCGGAAAATGCCATCGAAGGTGCCTCAGTGCCTTCCAGAGACCATTAATCTTCATTAGGAGAGTGTTCTTTATCCAGAGGAGGAGGCAGGGAAGGATACAGACATCTTTGGAAACATGAGCAGCTTCAGTAAAAGGCTGGAAGTCTGGCACACAGCTCTTTGCTCAGGAAGAGGAATCGGTAAGCATAAGGGCCACGTGGTTACCCGGGTCTGCTGGGCCTGACACCTGGTTGGGGTCACGGTGCTCTGGTGGGTCGGAGGAAAATGATGGGTTTAAGCAGCAGCTATGAATAGCAGTGCATGATATGAACAACTGGCTGTATTTGGATACTCGCTGTTGCTGTGCTCATTGACCTAAGAGTGCTTCGTATGCAACGAGCTCGAAAACAAGCCACTTATCAACATGCCCCGATCCCCACCGCAGCAGCCCGGCTGCCCATCCTGATAGAAATTCTGGATTTGTATCTGATGTGTTTATGATGAGCCCCCAATAGAGGACTGTGTGTACGCTCTGAACTGAAGGAGATGACTGATTCTGCCTAGGGCGGGGTGGGGTGCAAGGAAAGATGTGAACGATTTCGCAGAGGAGGTCACATGTTAAACCCACTTAACAGTGCCGTTAGGAGTTGTCTAGGTGGGGAGCTAGGAAGAGCGGTTAATTCAGAAAAAGAAACCAAACGCAGTAGCACATGCACAGAGATGAGAAGGTCTTTGTGGTGAGTCATGAGGCTAGTTAATCTGTGTGAGGGTGATGGAGGCCATACTGGGAGCCAGGCCTAACTCCTGGAATGCCAAGCCCAGGACTTTGACTTTATCCTATGGTCATGAGAACCCCTGAAGCTCCTTAGGCAGGGCTACTTGGTATTTCATACATAAAATTTCAGTTCTAATTTACAATGAATAGGAATACAATAGATGTATACACAACACTTTATATGTTCTATATAACTTCGGTAAACTATTCAAATAATAGTTTATTTTGTATAGGGGTTATAAATAGAAAGGGCTTACAAATAATATGCTTTAAATTTTTTAAATGCCATGAAATTCATATAGTAACTCACACTAGACTAATAATACCTAGTAGGAACTATTTGATTAAAAAAAAAAAAAAGTTAAAGTTGACACAAAATTAAAATGGTGGTTACTTGTGGAAAATGTGTTCCTCTTACAAGGACAGCCTCCCACCTCTGGAAAGCACATCGGGACTGAGATGGATAATGAGACCTTGTATCCATCACTCCCTGATTCTATTTTCATTGCTTAAAACCTTCCCCCTGGGATTCTCTTAGTTTACATACTCCGAGGGGGAAAGAAGGTGTGGGTGGGAAATGTTAGCTTTATGTCACCACTATTTGGTTATAGCACATGTAAAGGTAATTAACTCTATGGTCTTAGGATATTTGGGCTCATGAATTCCTCGTATGTTTGTGTGAGGTGCCTTGTCCCAGCTGTGCTGCATTATGAAGAGAGGTTATTTTTTTGTTTTTGTTTTTTATTGATTTTTTTTTACCGAGAGGAAGGGAGAGAGATAGAGAGCTAGAAATGTCGATGAGAGAGAAACATCGACCAGCTGCCTCTTGCACACCCCCCACCGGGGATGTGCCCACAACCAATGTACATGCCCCTGACCGGAATTGAACCTGGGACCTTTTAGCCCGAAGACCGACGCTCTACCACTGAGCCAAACCGGTTTCGGCTAAAGAGAGGTTCTTGACCTCAAAACAGGTTTCCTGCTGTGCCGAGGCTAGTCAAAGGCTGGACTCCAGAATAGGGGTCATCACATACCTGCACCCCATTCCCCCACAAGAAGCACAAGTCAGGGACAGACTGGTGCCCTGAGTGTAGTAATAGGCCTTATCCCTATCACCAACCCTCCCCTCTCTGATCTGCTGTCCCCAGGGCCTGTCCAAAGCCTAGAACTCTGCATAGGGGACCAGCTACTCTCCCCTCAATGCCAGAGGAGCTCCCAAATTCCCACTCCAAACGGGGACCCGCATATAGTTTTATTGATCGGAGTTTTCACTTAATTAAGTGTATAGCAGCTCAGAGATTTCCATGCCCATTAGCCAGCACAAAAGGAGCCTGTGTGATGCCCAGCATTGGAGCACAGCAGTTTGGACTTTTTAAAACCCACCACAAAAATGCCTTTGTTTATGGTGCGCTCACAGCTGAAACTGTGAGGGGAGGGGAGGGGGGAAAAGGGGAGGGGGAGTCTTAATGGGCTCCAAACCCCATGGAAAGCTGGGACCTGGGAGGAAGCCATTGTCCTCAATATGGAACAGTGCTCCTGCTGTCTGAGCTAAGGTCATTTTACATGTTCATTTTGTCACCTAGCACCGTGGTCGGCAAACTGCCGCTCACAAGTCACATGCGGCTCCTTGGCCCCTTGAGTGTGGCTCTTCCACAAATACCACGGCCTGGGCGAGTCTATGTTGAAGAAGTGGTGTTAGAAGAAGTTTAAGTTTAAAAAATGTGGCTCTCCAAAGAAATTTCAATCGTTGTACAGTTGATATTTGACTCTGTGGACTGATGAGTTTGCTGACCACTGGGCTAGCATATTACCCATCCATCCTATTTTGTGTCATCTACAAATCTGATAGGGGCCCAGATCAGAGAGGGGAGGGTTGGCGATGGGGGCAATGCCTGGTACCATGCTCATGGTCTCGCTCCAGTGGAACCCAGGCCTGTACTCTCCCTGGTCCACCCAACACTTCGCCATCTTGTTTATAAGATTTCCTTTTGTTTTCCAGGGGACCTTGATCAGGGACACTGATTATTAGGACATAGTAGCCACTGAGGAAAATGACAGCTAGAATCCCCTCTGAAAAAGGGTTTCATGTGGTTTTTTCTAAAGGAATAGTTTTCCCTGCTCTCCCATATATTTATCAAGAATCTGGTATTTTAAAAAGCAAAAATAAATAAATATAGAAATATAAAATCCAACCTTCTGCTGGGCCAGAGCCATTAGAAGACACTAGAGGGGGAGACTTACAAGAATAGAGTGAGGAAAACACTGCGTTGATGCACAAGCCCCAGCATCCGACCTCAACCCCTCTCTCGTAGATGAGAAACTGGGTAGAGTTGTGTGCACTGTAGGGATTGCCATGGTACACGATCTGGAAGAGAGATTTGGGCTGGTGAGCTAACGCAGGGCGGTAGGGACCCCTCTTCACACACCCTGTTTCTCCATCGCCAGGGAGCAACAGGGCCCTGCTTCTTAGGGCACAGAGCTCACCCTCCCGTGACCACAGCCCCTGTTTCATCCGTTCACACCCCTATGCAAGCACCTACAGGAAGCCATAATTCTACCGTATCAAGTATAAACAACGTCTCTCTGGATCATTTACATCCCTCCTTCCAAACAACTTCTGGCCCCACCCAACTTAGGCTAGCCTGCCCACCACTTCTGGTATAGCCAATAGGCCTCTGACTCACCTCCACAAATGTCATTCCTATTTCTGCTGGGAGTATTTTCTCCCTCTCCTCTCTTTCTCCAACTCCTGTTCACCCTTCAAGGCCCCGCTCCTCCTTCGCCTTCATTAAGCCTGCCATGACTGCTACAACTCACGCTGATTTTCTCTTACTTGCTGTTTTGATCAATTACTGGTCCCATAGTATCCTCCAGCTGTCTAGGGTGTAGTAGCTTGCCCCTAGAATCTGTCTATAAGCCAGCCCCTTAAAAGTACTCTTTCCTACACTCTGCTGTGCCCGTCTTAGAGGCTAGCCCAGAAGGCCCTCAGGTACTGACTGAAAGACGGATGTGCAAGTCAATGAGTATGTATATAGACATATTCATTACCCGGCCCATGAAGTCTGTGAAAAACAGCATGTTAGACAGGAAGGCGGTCCATCCAATGAGGTGGCTGATGCAAAGGCAGCGGTAGTGGGAAGGCATATTCACCAGTGCCCTCAGCAGTGACTTCATGGTCATTGTCCTCTGAATCTGGAATAAACATAAAGCAGGTGTGACCTTGAGTGCAGACACGCAGCCAGCTGTGGGAGCCAGAGCACACAGCCGTGTTACATATCTGTCAGTCCACCATCACACAGAGTGTCACACTTTCTTGGCATGGCACTAAGATTTCCATAGAGTGGTCTCTAGGAGATGTTAAGTACGTGTAGATGCTTAGCAGTTTCAGTCCCAGAATGTAGCTTTGAGGACCTGAGGGGACAGGGGCTGGAAATGGAGCTTGCTTTGGAATAACATGCAAGAGACACCTAGCATCCTACTTTGAATGACAGAGCAACTGCATGAGGACAGAGCTCACTGGCTACCACAATTCTCAGATTTCCTGACTCTGAGAAAGTGTGGTAGATAATGCTAAGAGGCCCCTGGTGTCCATCTCCTGGTGTTGCCTTGTGATTGTGTATTGTTTAGATACCAAAGGGAATTTGCAGATATAATTAAGGTTACTAATCAGTTGACTTTGAGTTCATCAAAAGGGAGATTATCTGGGTGACCCTAACTAAATCACATGAGCCCTTTAAAAAGCAGGGAGTTTTTTCCCGGCTGGGAGCAGAAGGGGAAGTCAGAGTTCAAAGCAGGAAAAGGGCTAATTTTGAAGATAAAGAGAGCCATGCAGAAAAACTCTGAGAGTAGCCTCTAGGCAGTGGTTCTCAACCTTTCTAATGCCGCGACCCTTTAATATCATTCCTCATGTTGTGGTGACCGCCAACCATAAAATTATTTTCGTTGCTACTTCATAACTGTAATTTTTCTACTGTTAATGAATCATAATGTAAATATCTGTGTTTTCCGATGGTCTTAGGTTCTACAGCAGAGGTTCACAGGTTGAGAACCGCTAGCAGGGTCGGCCAGCCCATGAAATCTGTGAAAAACAGCATGTTGGACAGGAAGGCGGTTCATCCAATGAGGTGGCTGTAAAAACCAAGGGCTCCATTTTTTTTATTTTTTATTTATTTATTTTTTTGTCAGAAGAAGCCTTGAGAGAATAAAACAATTTAAACTATTGACACAGCTGTTTTGCAATACAAAGAATAAGACAGCCTTTAACATCTTTACTTGTCATGTAAGAGAAGAAAGAAGCCTCAGGAATATGAAGCAGTCAGCTGCCCTGAAGACCTTGAGACTATAGAATCAACCGTGCTCCGGTCTTTCTTGTCAGGTTTTTATTTATTTGAAGCTTGACACAATGAAATTGGGTCTTGGCTAGATTATTTATAAGATGGTCTCCTGAGATTCTCTGTTTTAACTATAACAGTATCTGTGCTTATAGCTCTTGAGCTTATAATGATAATGCTTTTAATTCCTTGTTGCAGAAAATTGCATTTACTTAGGGTAGGTTTGTTTGTATAAATTGCTTTTTTTAATTCATTAATTTTATAGTATTTAGTCTGCTGACATGACTGAACTTATTTGCTTATATTTACTCAGTGTTTAAAAGTATAGACCTTCCCTTGGACTTAGGAAAAATAACTGCTTTCTGAATGTGAAATATGGTGCCTGTCAAAATAAATGGTGAGCACAACAGAAACTCAAGGGTGAATTACTACCTTTTCCTTGACCATAGGAAGAAGCAGCTAAAGGTATAGACTGAGACACAACTAAATGATTGATCTTCTCTCTCCTTCCTGTCTTCCCAAAATGCAAAATTTTATAAAGTGAATCTGGCCGGCAAGCATTCCACCTCATTCCAAATATTAATTTATGCTTCTGCCTTACACGTGCTTTTCAGCCTGTTTTCATTGTTAGCCTAATGTTTCCTTTCTTCTGAAAACAAAGATGAGCTTTCAGACTGTGTCTAATATTTCTGCAAAAGATTGGAATATACATATTCAAAGCTCCTTTAGTATCAGAACAAAAATTCAGCTGGCATCTTGTTCTCTGACTCATCAGCTCCCTCAGCAAAGCCCTTTCAGTGGTCGGAGCCCCTGGGAGTTCGTGTCCTGCACGTATTGTGTGCCCACGTCCACTGGAGATGGGGTGGGATGGATTCCTAAGTGGGAAGGCACAGAGCCATGGGGGAGGGCGGGAGGGGACCTTATAAGAATTAATTCCAAAGGAGACCGCCGAGACAGTGAAGGAGGCATTGCCGGTGAATGTTATGGTTTGAACTCAGAAATAATTCAGGCCTTTCACCATTAAAATTTTTTTCCCCCAGTTCACAAATTGCACAGCCACCCTCATTTTGGGAAGAAATGGCTTTGACACAGAGTGACAGCCACGGCCATGATCCCAACATGGCGGAGTCCCCCATTGCTCAACTGGAGGCTCCCAAGATGCACATTTCAATGAAGAGTCAGATGCTTGGCTTTGGGCTTAAGGTACGTTGCTCTGTTTTTGGAATCTGGTTTTTTATTTTGCTTTTTTTTTTTTTAAGCAAATAACAAACCCAATCAAAGCCTATAGTATTGTGTCCGTGGAACATACTAGAAAGTTAATTGTGTTTGACATCTGTGCTTTCCTACTAGTGTGGAGGGCTGTAGGCCGTTCAAAAGGCTCCTGCTCACTTGTTTATTTGATCCTCACTCTGAATCAGAGTCAATCAACAGGGCGAAAAGTGGGGATAATAACTACTCATCTTTAGCAAAACCCTGTCTTGTTTTGTTCCTTAAACTATGACATTTTTTTCTTCATTTTCAAAGTAATATTTGTCTGTCATAGGAATGTTGAATCTATAGAAGAGTTTATAAAATAAAATTGAAACTATCTGTTAGCCCATCCGAGAAAATAACTTCAATTAACATTTGGGGTATGCAGTATATATCCTTTATTTATTTTTTTTTCTCTCTCTGTATTGTATAGCTTTTCTCAGAATGGAGGGTGTGTGTGTGTGTGTGTGTGTGTGTGTGTGTGTGTGTTGAAAATATATTATGTATAATAGTAAAAGTGTAATATGCTAATTAGACTAGACAGCTGAACGTCCTTCCAGACAAAGCGATGATGGCAGTGAGGGCTGAGGGCAGGCAGCTGTGGCGGTGGCCAGCAACAGCAGCAGCAGTGGGGTGATGGAGGCGGCACCTTTCCCTGATTGGCCTGGTTGCCTCCTGCAGAGGGAGACCAGAATGCAGCTTAGGCCCACTTCCCAAGGGAAGCTGGCCTAAGCCATCAGTAGGACATCCCCTGAGAGCTTGCAGGCTGTGAGAGAGGGCAGGCTGGGCTGAGGGATCCCCTTCCCCAGTACACACATTTTCATGCACAGGGCCTCTAGTATTTTAAACAATTACTCAAACACACACACACACACACACACACACACACACACACACATATTTTGATGATTATATGGGTTCCATTGCATAGATATCCCATGATTCTCAGGTTGCCTTACAGAACTACACGAGGGGGCTCCAGTCTAACTGGGAATCCCTGAGTCCTGATCTGTTAGCAATGAATGAGCAGGGGGTGTCCGTGCTCCCTGGGGCAGTCTGGGGTGGGCAAAGGTAGGCTGGCCAGGTCTCAAGAGACAGAGACTCTCATTTTTTCTCTGTTTGCTGTGTGGTCAAGATAAAACGAAGGCCTCATCCCAAGAACCTTTCAGTTCCTCCTGCGTTCTTCCTATGATGGAAAACACTATGCTCATGCTAGAACAGGAGCTCTTGGTGGAATGGGATGGCCAGATTAGTCCCTTCCATTGTGCTCCCCATCAGGAGGCACTGTAGAAGGCAGGTTGATACACCTAACGCCAACGCAGTTGTGCTCAGACGCAAGGCCTCTTTTGTAAGACCTTACACAAGTAAAAAGTTTGCCAATTCAAACCCAAGCAATGTTGAAATTTACTGTTGTATTCATTTTTGGAAAATACTAAACTAACAAATAGAACAAAGCACTTAATTTTGAGAAAACCATTTATGGGCTTTTATAAGTAGCTGCTAAGACTCCCCGCTCTTATCCAAATATGTAATTGAATAGATAAAAATGAGGTTTTCTATGACTATATTCCCTTGAAATACCACTGAAAGAAAACACAGTTCCAAGCATTATAAATCACTTAGCTAAATGCAGTGTGGCGTCCTGGGTTGGGTCCTGGAACAGAAAATGACATTAATGGAAAAACCGATGAAACAGAAATGTCTTCTCTTTACTTAGCAGCATTGTACCTGCGGTAACGTCTTAGTTCTGACAAGTGGTTACATAAGATGCTCACATTAGGGAGAAGCTGGTGGAGAGTAGACAGGAGCTCTCTCTACTCTCTGCTGCTTTTCTAGAAATTGAAAATTATCCAAAATTATGTATTTATTAAGGCAAGACAACATGTGGTTGCACTTTGATAGGTGACAACTCTGAGGCAGCTTGGAGGGCAGGGTCTTCCAGCACCATGATAGCCAACAACTTAGTTGTGAGCTTGAACCTGTGGTCTGAACACATGGCACCACGTGCCTGAGTGATGTGGGCTTGGTAGAGGTCAGGTGCATGTAGGTGAGAAGGATTGAAACCCAGGAGGATGTTGTAAACAGCTTGATCATGCCTTTACTTTGCCTCGTGGCATCTGCTATAAAATAAAGACACGCCTTGTGGGCGTTGTCGCTTTCTCTCAGCAAGCAGCGTCCCACCGAGACCCAGCTTTCCTTCTCTTGTCTGTTTTTTCTTCCAAGCCTTTTAGCCGCCCCTACTCAGGGTCACCCTTGGCTGTGCTGGTGCGGCACAGTGTTGGTATTCGAACTCAGCTTGCGGGAGGATACGGAGCTTGGGAAGTGATGGACATGTTCTATACCAGCAGTATTCTCTACAGCAGCTGCTAGCTCCATGGGCCTACTGAGCGTTCGAAATGTGGCTAATGCAACTAACAAATGGAAGCTTTCACTTTATCATCTCATTGTAATGAATTTTAATGTAAATAGCCTCATGGACCACCAGCTACTCTAGTTGGTCAGCATAGGTCTGGTCTCTTCATTAGTCAACAGAGCCAAATATCGACAGTACAACGAATTAAATTTCTTTGGAGAGCCACATTTTTTTAAACTTAAATTTTTTCTAATTCCACTTCTTCCAAATAAACTCGCCCAGGCCTTGATATTTTGTGGAAGAGCCACACTCAAGGGGCCAAAGAGCCACATGTGGCTCATGAGCCACAGTTTACCGACCACTGCCCTTGACCATTTTTTCTGTCTTAACCTGGTTCCATTTTTCTGGAATTTTATAGTTTTCTTTGAAAATATTAAGCTAATTAATTCATTGAGCCGTTCACTGGGAGTGGACTAACAGGAATACCTAATCAGTTCATGAGATACAAATTTAACAGTTACCAACCCTGGACACTGTAATTGCAGAAACATATTGACAACCCTAATGTACGAACTGAAGATGCTTCTGTGGCCTCATATGCATGGCCTGGCACTTTGCACCTGGCTTCGTCTTCCCTGGTTAGGTGTTCTGTGGAGAGAAAAATGCGCACACTTTGCTTTGCAGTCCCAAATTTCAGTTCTGAGGGATAATAGCTACGGAGGGCTTGGGGATCCAATTACACTTCACAAAACCCTTCACTTCAGATAAAACAAAGACAAAGCATAATCCAAAAATAAAAATAAAAACAATGAGACTGGTAGGAATGATAATATGTTTCCTCAAGTAAAGAAAAAGGAATTTGCACAGTTACCTGATCAGCAGGGCTTTTGGGTTTTTCTCCCTGCACCGTCAGCGCTGAGTGCGCATCACCGTTTCCAACCTTCTCAATAGAGCCATACTCGTACGTTTTGTCCGATGGTGGTGGAGGGCCCTGCGGGGCTGGCTGCGGGAGGACGTCCTTTGTAGTGTCTCTCAGGGGGGCCTCGGGGATGCTACACAGGTGGATGGTGAAGCACAGAGTGAGGACCAAGGCGGAGAAGAAGAACATGACCTGGAACTCTGAGCCCAGCACTCTGCCCAGTTTCAGGTGGGCCCAGTCGATGGCACCCAGGAGGTAACCCAGGGCACCTCCAAAACCTGGAAAGCAAGGGAGAGCTGTGTTAGCGTATTTAGCAGACCCGCTTCCCTTCTCTGGTGCCCCGGCCCTGCCCTTGGGGGAGGGGGAGAGAGGGAGGGAGCTCCCTAAAGACAGCACAGGCGCCTGGTTATGACTGCAGAGGTCACAGGGAGAGGCCAAGCCACCTGTGACTGGTGGGTGGGCTCCAGGCTCGGCTCTGGCATGTACATGCTGTGACCTTGGGCTTCTTCACTCAGAATACGTGGATGAGAATGAAAGGGTAACCTACTAGTAGAATCATAACTAGGAAACAGTACAGATTTCGCCAAGTGCATAGTAAATATTGGCACTGTCAGAATCCTTGTGGCCTTTCCAAACTATACTCTTACCCTTAAAAACGGAAATACCTAGCCTGAAAGAGCCCCCAAAAACTGCTTTCTGACAGCAATAAACACAATTATTTCCATTATCATCTACCTACTAAGGAGTGTTCTAAGGTGACGGAAGTCTGCAGAGATCAAAGAATGGTGGGAGAGTGGACAAGTCTGGCCACTTCACATCTGGTTAGTTGCAATTTGCCATAGGGGATATTTACAGATGACTAACTACTTAATCACTGAACTACAGACATAAAATACCAAAGTGTATGAATGAGGAATTATGGGAAATTGTGGCCAATGGTGGGCAATGCAGTAAAACATACATTCTCTGCTAACAGGAGCATATGATACAGTTATTGCTGATGGGCATATACATAACAGATAAATGACACATACGGCTGTTGTGGGTAGTTGGTGCCCAGGATCTGAGAGGAAGGGGAGGTCCCTGAGGCAGCCTGATTCAGAGGGCAGTTCTGGGATTTGTGGTGCGTCTAGGTCATCATGAAACAATAACTCTCTTTACCCAACTGTGGGTATGCCAGGGTGCTAGAGGTCATGTGATAAGCCAAGCAGTCAACCAAAAATGCATTAAGTGCAAAGCAGTATTCAACAGTCTATCTAATAAGGGTTTCATAGTCTCGGCACTCCTGATGTTTGCTGCTGGATCATTCTGCTGGACGGGGCTGCGGTGTGCGTTATAAGGTGTTAGCAGCCTCCTGGCCTCTCCCCACCATCTGTCAGCAACAACCTCTCCAACCCTCCCCACCAGTTATGACAATCACAAATGTCTTCAGACATGACCTGGTGTCCTCTACGGGCAAAATAACCCCCAGGTGAGAACCTCTGTCCTTAATCAATGCTATGAAAAATGTACACATCCCTTTTTTCAAACTATTTCTCATGTGCAACCATTGATCAATGGTTGTTATAATGTCACTTAATCCCTTGATTCTTCTTCTCTTCTTAAAATGTATTGCTCCACTGGGCAGAATAGAAGACACCTGCCCATTTGAAAAAAATCATATGTAAAACAAATCATCCACTGTTCAATGGAATGGTATAGTTCATGCGTATAAATATGCAGATATAAATATAATGATGGATTTGTATTAGGTCAGTTGAGTTCTATAATTGGAGGATTCACTAGTCCAGTTTTGTGTCCACTGGTTGTGTATGGTTCAGTAAACATTTACAAAAACAAAAACAAACAAACAAACAAAAAAGCCATTTATTGAGCACTAAAATATATGTAAGGGATTCTAATAGTTTCTGAGGATATGACCATAAATAAGAAGGCAATTCTAAGTAGGAGAAGCAGATAAGCAAACAACTATTTTTTTTAAAAAAAACCTGTGATAAATAAGAACTTAGAACTGTTAGCTGGGGACTTAAATAGTATAGAGAAGTTCTGAAAAGTTTGTTTTTGGTGCTTAATTCATAGTAACAAGATGATGTTGACTATTAATAATTTGATTTTTATTATTGATTTTTTTACAGCGAGGAAGGGAGAAGGAGAGGGAGAGGGATAGAGAGTTAGAAACATTGATCAGCTGCCTCCCCACACACTCCCCATTGGGGATATGCCCACAACCAAGGTACATGCGATTGACCAGAATCAAACCCAGGACCCTTCAGTCCACAGGCCGACACTCTACCCACTGAGCTAAACCAGTCAGGATGCAAGATTTCTCTTAATTAGCAATGAAGTTCATAAAAGTTCAAATATCAATGAGTCCAAAAGCTCTAGTGGTAGAAGGCTGTCTGGAGCTCGGGAAGCTGAATTAGATGAGAAAGCCACAGGCCACAGTGGTTAAGTGAAGGGTGACAGCTGAAAAGAAGGGGTTTGGAATTATGCCTGGTTTCCATTCCCACCTGTGTGCTTTCTCATCATGTGATGACGGCATCCTGCTGGGAGGAAGGGGGTGGTGATCCTGCTTGTCTGAGTTTCCTGGCGGTTAGCATGATAATACCGTAAAACACCAGCACATACAGTGGCAGAATCAATACCAAAACCCAGTGAGCAGCTGACTTCCTACAGAAACCCTAACTCTGAAGCCTCACCCAGAAGCAAAATAGAATGAATGAAGATGTTCCTTGACTTACAATGAAGTTATCTCCCAGTAATCCATTGTGGATTGAAAATGTAGTAAATTGATATAATTGACTTTTTTACAGAGAGGAAGGGAGAAGGAGAGGGAGAGGGATAGAGAGTTAGAAACATCGATTTACAAAAATTGATCATAGCCTAGCCTCACCTAATTAAAATGTGCTCAGAACACTTTCTTTCATCTACATTGGGCAAAATCACCTACCACACACACACACACACACACACACACACACACACACGCAGTGCAGGAACTTGGGAAGTGTTCTGTCTTCCCTGTTGGTTCACTCATTAATCAGTTAAGTAAAACCTGGCACACGCTACAAATAACTTAGAATTTCCCCTCCTCGGTTCTCTTTGGGGCCGGATTGGGTAAGTGGGGGTTGGGTGGGAAGACAAAAGAGGCAACCCCGTGTTTGTTTGTCCCAAAGCTACTGTGGGATATAGCTCAAAGTTCCAACAGAACACCCCCTGAAGGACTAGTGGGTGATTGGGGAAATTACCCAAATACGTAAGCTTTATTCACACTGCCAGACATGATAGAAGCCGGCAGGGGGCTTTGGGGATTAATTGGAGGCTTTCCTCTTTGCTTCCGCTCCTTAAGCTGAGGGTTTTATCTTCAAAGATAGTCTTTATAAAAACCCCAGCCATGTTAGCCCAACAAAGGCTCATACCAACTCTCTCATCTCTGTCCGCAGAGTTTATCTCTATTGACCACATCAGCCTCCGCGGGGCCCTGGAACCCATCACCAGGCCATCAGCTGGAGCAGCCAAAGGACACCTGCTGCCACGTTAGATAACAGCCTTTACAAAGGGGGGCCCACAGGGGTCCAGCCGTGAAACCAGACCAGAGCCAACCTCATGCCTGCGCTAAAGTACTGAGAAACAGAAAAGTCCAAAGAGGCCGAGCCTCACCCATCACCCATCCTACTTCCAAAGGTGTTTATGGGGCCAGTTCCTTACCGAATCTCTCTCTCTCTCTCTCTCTCTCTCTCTCTCTCTCTCTCTCTCACACACACACACACACACACACACACACACACACACACACACACTGGAAACTACCAGTAAAACTACTGCAAGCCTGGTGGGCTGGAGGGAACGAAATACTTAGGAACATTTGGCACTGAATCCTTTTATAATAAATGGGTCCTTGCTGCAGGCCTGAGATCCTTTGCCAGAATAGGAATAACTGCCATTGCGCGGCATTCTGTTATGACAGCCGAACAGACCCCATGGGCCCCGAGAGGAGGTGAATCGGGCAGGTCTGAGGGGAACTGTTAGAACTGTCACCTCCACCTTCTCTCCCTGTGAGACAACCGCCTCCTGATGCTTCATGTTCATCCACTTGATAAACCTCCGTCCTTTGTTCTTTGGTGGGTGAAGTCCCTGACCAAGTTAGAAATTGAGTTTGCCCCAAATTTAGGAGAAAGGGGGGCTTTCTCCCAGTAGGGGGGTGAAAGTGTCCAAGCAGCTTTCATGGCCGTTGGCAGGACAAGGGGAAGGGAGTTTCCATGTGAGTGAAAACCCAAGAGCAGAAGGGGAAAGCCACATTAAGGTTTATTTTGAGCGCCGGTGCTCTGCCGGGCGGTGCTGGGAGCGGGAGGGACACGGCAAGTAAAGCAGACGTGGCCTGCGCCCCGGGAGCAGATCGGGGAACTGTCTAGAGCACAGAGTGTGGACGGAGTGGTGGGGAGCAAAGCGTGAAGAGGATGGTGGCAACAGGCCAGGGGAGCTTTGAACCGGCCTAGGAACTGGGTGGTTATGCAGGAGGCGAGTGGGAAGCCACTGCAGTTGCTGGGCAAGTCGCTGAGCCCGGTCAGGTATGTCTTTCAGGAAGATGAAACTGGAAGCTATGTATGGGTTCTCAAAATAGGAGGAAGGGAGAGACTGGAAAACAGCTAAGGGATAAATACCAAGCTCAGATAAGATGTAGTGAGATCCCAAAATATATATATGAGCATTTGTATTTAAAATACAAATATGTATATCAAAATTATACATATTTGCTGAGACTACACCTTATGCTAATATCAGCAGAAAACCTCCAAATATTTTCTCAAACTCATAGGAACGCTATCATGTGTTAGCCTTGAAAAAGTAATCAAAATATAAAGGCTCAATCTTTGAATATCAGAGGCAGCAAAGCAGAGGTTGTTTGGTAGACGCGTGGTCAGCAAACTGCGGCTCACAATCTCTTTGGCTCCTTGAGTGTGGCTCTTCCACAAAATACCACGAGTCTATTTTGAAGAAGTGGCATTAGAAGAAGTTTAAGTTTAAAAAGTGTGGCTCTCAAAAGAAATTTCAATTGTTGTACTGTTGATATTTGGCTCTGTTGACTCATGAGTTTGCCGACCACTGTCCTAGACTAACACTGTCATAACCTGGGAAGTGGTAGTAGCCACATTGTCATTCTCAATGTGTCCTGTTCAAAAGCCAGAAGGTCTCCCGTGGCTGTGCTGTAATTGACTTCAGTGCGTTATGATAGAGCAGACAGGATTGTGGGATTTAAGTCAGGAGCAGGCAGTTGAATCTCTATGCTACAGAGAGGATGGTCAGGGGCGGGGCCAGACAGGAATGGATCCCTGCTCCCCCTTCTCCCTGAAGCGAGAGGAACTGCTCTCTCTCTCTCTCTCTCTCTCTCTCTCTCTCTCTCTCTCTCTCTCTCAGGCAGTCCCAGTCCTCCCGTGTCTGCCATTCAAACACGTGCCCTGACCACAAATAGTGACCCAATGGCTTCCATCTGCAGGCACTGCTCTTGGCAATGGAGACGTAATCAACAGAACATGAGATTCTGCTTCTCTTTGGGACTTACCCGCTCACAGAGGAGAGAGAATGCAGCAGCATGAGAGAGAAATAGATTGGCTGGGCTAAGGTAGACTGGCAGAGTCTCCCCGGCCCCTCGATATAAAAATGCTCCTGGGCCAGGAGGGCACTGCAGCCTCAGGAGAACCCCAGCCCTCGAGCAGCCTTATAGGTGCCTGCTGAATGCTAGCGGCACAGCTCTGCGTGCATGGCCAACAGCAGCCACAGAGGCCCGCCACAGCCCCGAGAACAGCCCCACGTCCTCCTGCCATGGCTTCTCTCAGACCAGGAGGCCGAGGAAATGCCAGTCTTTATAGGACTAAGCAATCTCCTAGGCCAGTGGTCGGCAAACTCATCAGTCCACAGAGCCAAATATCAACAGCACAATGAGTGAAATTTCTTTTGAGAGCCACATTTTTAAACTTAAACTTTCTTCTAATGCCACTTCTTCAAAGTAGACTCGCCCAGGCCGTGGTATTCTGTGGAAGAGCCACACTCAAGGGGCCAAAGAGCCGCATGTGGCTGGCGAGCCGCAGTTTGCCGACCACGGTGCTAGGGTGTTTTGTTTTTATTTGCTTGGTTTGTTTCTATTTCTGATTTTTAAACGTGGTTCTTGGGATACTTGCCACAGAATCATCTGGGGGAATTATAAAAAATGCACCTTTTGGGCCCCTACCCCAAACCCATGGAATCAAAGTAACGGGGTGCGGGGGGGGGGGGGCAGGAAGCTGCATTTTAACAAGCTTCTGAAGTAATGCTGATGCTACATTACTGATTTTTTTTTTTTTTTTAAAGCAACCAAAACGTAAGGTGCACAAGGCCTCTTTTCATTTCGGTTGTAAGGCCTCCACAGATGGCTCTTCAGAAAGCTCTTATGTAAACTTCCTTTGCCAAACTCCGCAGCCTGGTCACAAGCTGACTTTGTTTAGAGAAATGCACTGGGAGCAGAGCTCCACGTGATGGGGGCATTCCATCAAGTGATCCCTTCATTCATTCAAAAAAAAAAAAATTCAGCAGGATGGCTTCAGTGGAAGGGGCTCTCTGTCTGGGAGCTGGAGAAGAGGCTTTCCGGAATATTCTACCTGTGAAGAGGGCGTGGTAGTGGAGGCCCCTCTCCTTGTCCTGGTGGGAGCAGACATCGAACAAGTAGGCTTTGATGGGCCCGTCGATGAAGTCCGCGGCGAAGTCAAAGAGAACCACGCCCATCATGGTGACTGTGATGGCCCAGACCAGCTTCCTCCGGGGCTCAGCGATCAGCGCTACAAGAGCAATGAACAGGGGGCACCTCAGTCTGGGTTTGAAATGACTCGCATTGGTATTCCCACCCAACCTTCTTGTCACCCAGTGATTTCCCTTTGTTTTCATTTCATTTTGTTTTCCACATAAAAACGTTTCTATTTCGTTTAGATTTTAACAATTATTCCGGGAAAGGCAAATGGATAGAGACAGGAAGCTGATGAGTGGTCGCCTTTACCGGTGGGGAGGAGGGAATGGAGTGTGACTGCTAATGCTTACCGGGTTTCCTTGTGGGGGATGATGAAAATGTTGTGGGATTAGCTGAAACCGGTTTGGCTCAGTGGATAGAGCGTCGGCCTGTGGACTGAAAGATCCCAGGTCAAGGGTATGTACCTTGATTGCAGGCACATCCCCAGTAGGGGGTGTGCAAGAGGCAACTGATTGATGATTCTCTCTCATCGATGTTTCTAACTCTCTATCACTCTCTTCCTCTCTGTGAAAAATCAATAAAATATATATATTTTTTAAAATGTGGGATTAGATAGGGTGATGGTTGCACAGCCTGGCCAATATGCTAAAAAGCACTTCATTGTACACTTTAAAATGGTGACTTCTACGGTATGTGAATCATAGCTCTTTAGAGCGGTTTTAAAAACTGCTTATTATAAACCATTTCAACAATCTAGAAAATCTGGGCAAATACTTCAGGTCCTAGCGCCAGCAATGGCCCTCCTTCACACGCTGCTTTATGCACTTACACACACTCAGAGAGAGGTGTACATTTGTGCCTTAATGCAGTGCTTTTCAAGCTTTCGCACACTTGACCAGTGCTTGGATGACCTGGACGGTTGGACTCCATCTCCCATGATTCTCCATGGTTCTCCCATGATTCCTCAGAAGGTTTGAGGTAGAGCCTGGGGATTTGCATCTCAAGAGCCCCAGTGATGCTGCAGCTGGAGGACCGGGCTTTGAGAAGCACTGGCTCACAGGACCACGTGCGCATGCTCCTTTATAACCAACTCTCTCCGGGTCTTCGCATTCCAATTAATGAAGATCAATTTCACAATTTTTAACAGCCAAATAATATTCATTCTATGGATATGCCACACTTCATCCATCCAATCTTAGTTTGTCTTGCTTTTAGTTAGTTTTTTGAGACTAATACGTAATATATGCACATGGTTTTTAAATGGTAGCGTGAAAGTAAGCCCATCCTCCACTTCTCACCGCCAGTCCTTCCGCACCTCTCCCTGGAGGCAGCAATCTTACCAGGTTTTCTTGTGATTCTTCCAGAAATACCCTACAATTATGTACTTACGCCCTCTTTTAACTATCTATGAAAGATAACTAATTATCCTGCCTCATTATCAGACATTCTGCTTGCCTGAGAGTTAAAGGCCTAAACATGTGTGCTATTTTTTACATTTAAGATCCTCTTTTCAGTGCTACGTTTTATCCACTTCCACCAATTACTGATTAATTACTGATTAATTGGTGGTTGATTAATGACTAGAAAAAGTGCTCACCATCACGTCTGTTTTGTCCAGAATTTGCCAAAATGTCCCCTGGAGCTGCAGACAGATGCCCTGCACCCACTAAGCAGCTCCGCACAAAGCTCTGCCCAGGGTTAACCCTTATTTGGACACGGGTCATTTATTGCAAATACATACAGCTGGTTAATTTGACAAAGTACAAAACAACATGGAATGCGCTCAAAAAACATGGCAATTAATAAATTGTGAAATTACTAAGCTTGATAAAGTAGATAAAAATTTAATCCTATTTTAAAACACACACACACACACACACACACACACACACACACCCCAAGCCAACAACAATGCACCCTCATGTTTCTGAAAGTAAAATCGCCCCAACCGCAGACCTTGGGTCATTCCAAGTTGGAAGTTCCTGGAAACCTAGGAGAGATGAACCACTGTTAAGTGTCCCATGGAGAAATCCAAACACTCCTGTGAGTGGCCCAGTAGGGCCCTTTCCGCCCGCCAGCCTGCGCGGCGCACTGACCTGACACCACGGTGTCCCCGTTGAGGTACAGGGCCATGCCCAGCAGCATCATGACGCCCAGGGCCAGGATGTAGGGCCTGCGGCGGCCCCAGCCGGCCCGGCAGTAGTCGCTGGCCGAGCCCACCACCGGCTGCAGCAGGAAGCCCAGCACGGGGCTCAGCAGCCACACCACGCTGTACAGGCTCTTGGGCAGGCCCACGCTGAGCAGCACGGGGGTCACGTAGGCCGCCTCCACCGCGTAGCAGAACTCCCGGCCGAACATGGCCATGCTGTGCATGACCAGCCGGCCCGTGGGTCTTCTGGGCGGCTCCCCAGCGGCCTGGGGGCCATCCTCGGCCAGCGATGTGTAAGCGTGCACGCCCGGCTGTCCGTTGTTACCGCCCATGGCCACCAGGTGAGGAACCTGCCTGCACGCCCGCCACCTCCTGCCCCTCCGATTCCTGAGCTGGTTTTGACTGGGAGCCTGGCCGAGCGGCCCAGAGAGAGGGTTAGGCGAGGGGGAAGGGCTCAGATTCTTTCATGCCTCTCAGATCACAAGTTATGATGAGAGGGCAGGGAGGTGGGGCCTAGGAGGCCTGCCAGGGCTTAGCTGCCCTGAGCCCTCTGGCTCCTTAGGATGTTTTCCTGAAGGAATCTTCCTTCGCACTGTTCCCTCTCCCCCTGTTTCTCTCTCCCACTGTCTCTGTCTCCCTCCCTCTCTGTTTCTCTCTGTTTCTTCTCTCTCTCTCCTCCTAACACACACCCATTCTGTTACAATCTCACACACACAGGTTTGAGACAATAAAGACCTAAAAGCAGATGTTAAGTCACAATATCCTTTTAAAACTTTTTCTAGATATGAGTATGCTTTCCTGAGCACATGTTTTCTGCACGCACACCTGAAGAGTCACTAAACCGACTTAAAACGCTAGAAGGCCGAACCTCTCCTCTCATTCACTAGCTGTCAGCACTGTGATGGCTTCCTGCATTGCACTCAGCACACTTTATAATCCAGTGGCCGTGTGTTTATTCTACTTACCCTGTGTTACTCAGGCTCTGATTGGGACCATGCTGCTCATGATGGGATCCCCAGCTGCTAGCAAGACCCCTGACGCCCATTGTGGGTTCTCGGTAAATAGCTGCTAACGGAAGTATTGAATGAAGCATAGACACTGCACTTTGTAGTGCCAGGCAAACTGCCTGTTTGCTCAGGTCATTTCCTGCCCTGCCCTCCATGCTCTGTACCATAAGGAACTACATTCCCAGGTCCCATTGCGCCCTGGCTCTGAGGCAGACGTGGCCCATGGAGGCGCTGATAGAAAGACAGCGGCAGGAGAAGGGAAGAAATCCCACCCTCTTCCCCTCTCTCCTCTCTGGGAGGTCTCTGGCCGCGGCTGCATCTCCACTCGGGTCCAGTTCCCACCTGCGGACACAGGAGGGGTCCTGGCTTCCCCCGGTTGCTCGTATCGGGGCTGACTCATTGTCCTCTTGGCTTCTCAGCTCTTCCATCACCGGGGCAATTCTCTATCTCAAATGTCCTCTGTTTTAAAGACCCGAGTGGGCCTTATTTTCTTTGCTGGAACCTGAGTTCAAATGAAGACTCTGAGTGGAGGTGAACATGACCCCATAGGTAGGGCTCTGAAAATGGGCTTAGAGGAAGAGTTGGAGCCAGGAGTCAGAATATTCAAGTTTCAATTCTGGTTCTGCCTCTTCCTAGCTGCATTTCCCTGGGCAAATCACTTAAAATGGTTTCCCACACTGTATACCAAGGCGACCCAGGCCACTATGATGAATTTACAGGGGTGTCTCAGGATATTTAAACAATTGAAGACAGTAAACGGAATGAAACCATCTGTGAGATACCATGTGAACTCCTTGTGACGTAGTTCACACTTTCAACATAAGATCGCACTGCCAGAGAATGAGTAGCAGAATCCAATTTGATTCTATGAACATGACACTGTTGTGTCACATAGGTGCATATATGATCCAATAGTAACAAATTGTAATTAAGAATGAAATAAAAATTAAAATGTGACTTTTTTCTACTTATGTATTTTTTTTTTTTTTCAAACAGCTAATTACTTGTTAGGATATACGTATTTAAACTTGGGGGACCTAATTATAAATGGAATGGTTGGATCTTTCTTTTGACCTAGGGGCACTGTGAAAAAAACAACTGAGACACTAAAGGAAATGTGAACCAAGAAAGGTAGGAGGGCCCTAACTGGTTTGGCTCAGTGGATAGAGCGCCAGCCTGTGGACTCAAGAATCCCAGGTTCAATTCCAGTCAAGGGCATGTACCTTGGTTGCAGGCACATCCCCAGTGGGGGTATGCAGGAGGCAGCTGATTGATGTTTCTCTATCATTAATGTTTCTAACTCTCTCTCCCTCTTCCTTCCTCTCTATAAAAAATTAATAAAATATATTTTTTAAAATTAAAAAAAAAGAAAGTTAAAAGGGAGTGGGGGTGGGAAGAGATCAATAAAAAAACTTGTATGCATATATGCATAACCCATGGACACAGATAGTAGGATGGTGATGGCCTGGGGCAGGGGGGCAGGGTGGGCTAGAAGGGTCAACCAGTCACTTTGTCCCATGTGACTTGTTCTTTTTATTATCACCATACAGTTTGTAGCACTTCATCACTTCCTACATTGTAGGATCAAAAGAGAGTGGAAATAAATGTATACTGAACTATGCATTTAAGAATATACTAGTAATTCCTATGTATGCAGGTATACAATTCACCTTATGAGGATATAAATTAGTACAGCCATATAGAAAATAGTATAAAGGCCTCTTAAAAATTAGTAATAGAACTATCATATGACCCAGTAATTCCTCTTCTAGTATTTATCCCAAAATGTGAAAACACTTATTTGTAAAGATATATATACCCCTGTGTTCACTGCAGCATTATTTACAACTAGAGGCCCGGTGCATGAAAATTCATGCACTGGAGAGGGGGTCCCTCAGCCTGGCCTGCCCCCTCTCACAGTCCAGGAGCCCTCAGTGGTGAGAGGTAACCTGGCAATCAGGGGAAGGCGATGCCCCCATCACACCTCTGCTACTGCCAGTGCTGGCAGTGCAAGCCTTGGCTGGCCCTGGATACCTGAGCCTCAGGCAGCCTTGGGCAGCTGGGCAGCTAACATCCGAAGATTGCCTGTGCCTCGGGCTGACCCTGGGCAGCTGGGGGGCTGAAGGGACTGGGGGACACTGGAGGCAGGCATGTGGAGCAGCCAGACCCACCTAGAGGTGGGCCCAGCCGTGCGACACGCCTGCTGCTCCAGCAGGGCTGAGGGAACTGGGCGCCACCATCTTGTGACTGTGGGTGCTACCATCTTTGAGAGTGTGGCAGTCAATTAGCATATTTCCTCCTTATTGGCTGTGGGCACTGTTATCTTTGTGAGGGTGTGATGGTCAATTAGCATATTCTCTCTTTATTTGATAGGATAGCCAAGAGAGGGAAACAACCTAAGTGTCAATTGAGAGATGATTAGAGAAAGAAGACTACTCAGCCATAAAAAAAGTGGAAAATACTGCCATTTGCAACAACATGGTTGGATCTTGAGAGAATTATGCTAAGTAAAATAATCAGATGGAAAAGGACAAAAACCATATGATTTCACTCATATATGACATATAAAGCAAAAAGTAACAAACTAATAAAACAAAAACAAACTCAGATTCAGACAACAGAATGATGGTTACTCCAGGGGAAAGTGAGAAGGAAAGGTGAAGAGGATGGCAAAGGAAGGAAACTAGACTTCGGGTGGAGAGTACACAGATGTCAAATTATGATCTTTACACCTGAATTTATGTAATATTAACCAATGCACCCAATAAATTTAAATTTCCAAATTAAGTAAAACAAAATGAATATAATTCCTCTTTCACTGGAATTTCCATCCTCTTACCTGCCTCCTTGCCTATTTCTAAATATACATTTTGTCAAAAGATAACTAGAAAAAAGAGAAAGTATAGCATTTTCTGCACAAGGTCTTATACTCTTCAGAAGAAAAGTATGGGTCACTAACGAAAGCTAGTGACTTTATTTATAAACAATTATTCATTAAAAGTTCACACCCTACAAAAAACTTTTCATTCAACATTTTATAAAAGCTAATCAATCACCGAAATCAATATTCTAAGTCAGCCCATCTGTTTATTTACAAGTTTTTGCCAACTTATTTTTATCCTTTTCCTCACTTATCTATTCAACGGATTTTTTTTTTTTTTTTTAGCACCTATGACAGTAAAAAGGTAAAATTACTGGGTTCATATCCATTAGAATGGTGCTACTCCAAGTGTGGCCTTTGAATTGGGAGCAGTATAAGCAAGTTCGGTAAAAATGCAAATTCTTGGGTCCCGCCCTGGACCCACAGCATTCAAATCTCTAGGGTTGGGATGCAGATATCTGTGTTGTAACAGTATCTCCATCTGACTCCTTTGTGTGCTAGGAGTTCGGGAGCTAGTGAAGAGCTATGTAAAGGACACTAAAAACAATGACTATCTTTGGAAATAAGTACAAAGTGTAATGGGAACGTAGAAAGAGCTAAGGTTAGGAGCTAACACCTAGCACCTAGGATGTACCAGGCATGGCAAGTCTTTGTCTCAGATATCATGATAGAGTGAGATTCAAACCCAAGGCCTTTCTGCTCCAAAGTTCTTAATCACTGTACAAAAGCACCCTAGGGCTGAGAAATGAAGGAAGCTGCACTAGGAAGACTGTGTCTGAGCCAGGTCTGAGGTTGCTAGGCCATCGGGCTGGAGCAAAAGGGAGCAGGAGTATTGCTAGTCCTGGAACATGGTGCAGCGATGGAAAGGAACAAAGCACAGTTAGAAACCTTAGCCAGTCCCATATAAAGTGCTGGGGAGGGAGGGGTATGGGTGGGACTGGACAACGAGGTGGAAGTCTTATGACTAGTAAAGGGTTTGTATACTATATACATGAGTTAGTATTTTATCCCATAAGAACAAAGAGGAACACTGAAGACTTTTACAGGCCTGAGGAGACCAGTCTGGTGTCAAAACCACGGTGGAAATAAGCGAAGGCAATGCACTGGAAGTCAAAGTGAACAGGGAAGCTGAGCAGCAGTCCAGGAAGGAGGTGACGGGGCGTGGATGAGTAAGAAAAGGGCAGGAGGACCGGCACAAGGGCCGTGGAGCTGAGACTGACTGCACATCACTCTGACTTCCATTAATAAATGTTCCGTGTTCACCACAGGCTGGGCACTGTGCTAGGAACGGGGGATTTGGTGTGACTAAAACTTACAGATCCTATATAAAGCTTCCATCTAGGATGCAGTGATTCAGAGGGAGTGCGGGCTGGGGTCAGCAGTGATGCTGGCGAGGGCCGGCGAGTGGTAACTTGGCTGGGACTTTAGACAGGGTGGGAAAGGACGTCTGCACAGTGACATCTGGGCAGTGGCCTACGTGAAGTGAGGACCTATGGGGGCAGAGGGAGGTGTGATGGGGCTGGAAACCAGAAACTGGGAAACGGAGGAAGTCTGGGAGGCCTATCACATGGATGACAGTGGCTGCTGCTAACAGGCAGCCACACGGGGTGTGTGTGTGTGTGTGTGTGTGAGTGTGTGTGTGTGTAAGGCTCTTTGTAGGTGGCCCAGAGGCAGTGGTGGGCATGATCTGAAGGAAGTTCCAAGACTGGCTGAATAATTTCCTTATCAAATTAAAAGGATCAGACTTTTCTATCTAAGGACATTCGTTTTGGTAAACAGTAGAACCAAAAATATTTCAATGAGTCACAATATGCTATTTAAGTGCTACTTCATAGGACTTTCTTGAAAGTTTTTCAGATGTAAAAGCTCACAAGTCAAGTTTAGGGCAAAAAAGCTTTATTTAATAAAAAATTATATTAATTCATTTAAAGTCTATTATGAATATTTGTGTTTTAATATCAACAAATATAATTTATCAAGACAGAAAGTTGCCACAATTTAGTATAAATTAAAAACATTCCTCAATCAAAAGCCACTTGATGTTAACCATTTTCAGAAGGGATCATTACTGCTTCTTGATCAGAATAGCTGGAATGCTGCCCTCCTGCCCCTCACGTTCCCATGCACACATCTGTGTACCGTTCTGTACATGCGATATTCAGACTCACTGCGCGGAGGGGCATCAGAGATTCGCTCTCAGCTTATTTCCTACAATAACTTTGTCTGAGTACAGCTGGTCGACCTCCTCCTGGCTGAACCCAAACTCTCTCAGGACCTCCTCAGTGTGCTCTCCTATCAGCGGGTCCCTTTCCAAAGAGGGGAGCGCGGGGGTGTCTGACAGCAGAGGCGCGGGGCGGGGACTCACGCCCTGCTCCCCGTCGGTGATAAAGGAGCCCCGCTCCTTGTTATGAGGGTGATGGGCAACCTCTTCGAAAGTCAGCACCGGAGTCACGCACGCATCCGTGCGATCGAAGATCCGGCACCACTCTGCCTTTGTCTTCCTGGCAAACGCAGCTGCGAACTTCTTCTTCATCTCCGGCCACTCAGCCATGCTCATCTGGTGGGGCAGGTTCTCGGATTCTAGCCCAAGACCTGAGAGGAGAAACACAGTTTCATAAGTTATTATGTTTTGGGTGGAACGATGATAAAAAAACAAAACAGAGTTTTAAGCTTGCTGTCCCAAACAGGATGCTCTGTAAGGGCTTCTCACATGGGCCAAGAGAGGAAATTCAAACTCCACCTGCAGCTGGAGCCCAAGGCTGGAGGGCAGAGCAGGAGGGGTGGCAGGATTCAAAACAGACTTTCCAAGCCAGGCTTTATTATTTACACTTCATCTAAAGCAGTCTAGGGAGGGAAGGGGGTAAGTGCATATCAACAACAACAACAAAATATAGTTTTTAGAAAAACAGTCTAGTTTTAAACATCTATTTTTCCCTCTGAATGGGTTTTCAAGGAATTTCCTCATATTACTATCTGTCAGATTGAGCTGAAGTAACCTCATAATGTACATAATGCTCCCAACTCCACGAAGATAAAATTTAAACAATTTACTCCTGGCTATCTCAGTTTTCAAGGAAGAGGCCTAATAGTAAATGATTAAATTCAAGATTACAATTAGATGAACAGTATTCATTTCTCTGTATTTGATCAAATGAAAGCATCCTGGAGGACAGTGCTATTTGACTCATCACCCCTTTAAAGACACTGCGAGCGAGGAGGCAAAAAGCTGTAAAGTATCCAAGACTCACTGCACTGTTCCTGCGCAAACAGGACAGAAGGTGATCTATCGGCCGTCCAGTCACCGGCGGGGCACGCAGGCTTTGCTCCTGAGCATAAAGGGCCTCGGAGGGCCCACCCCCGCGCAGACACACAGGATGGGGGGTTACAGGAAGGACAGCTCCTTTACACGGACAAGCTCCAACCCTGCAGACTCCAGTGCTGATTAAATTTTACCCAAATGGGCCACCTGACTAGGGTTTGGTGTAAATGTCATTTATTCCCTCACAAAAGAGGGGTTTTTAGTGTGGACGTTTGAGGGAGAAATAATAATAAAAGCCCCTTCTTCTTATGCATATTTTGTGTAAATTTAGCCAATTAATAAAGTAATTCTCTTTTTCATAACTCTTTCCTTCTCTCCCATGCAGAAGAACAGCTAACTGTAAGCTGCTCTGAAAATGCAGAATGAAGATCTTTCATACTGACAAGAAATGATGCCTCTGTTTTATCTATACTAATAAAAGCATAATATGCTAATTAGGCCAGATGTCCTTCTGGACGACCTTCCGGATGAAGCCGAGGCGGTGAGGGCAGTCCGGGTCCCGGGTGCCAGAGGGAAGCCGGTGCCAGCAGCGGGGGAAGGCAGGCCTGCTCTTGCATGAATTTTGTGCATTGGGCCTCTAGTTGTTGAATAAAAGGGAACAGCTATTAATTATAATTTTATATAATTGCATATATTAATGTAAATTATAAATTGAAAATAAAATAGTTTTGTTTGTATGTACACCCAAAAAAAGGACTGGAAGGCTACATCCCAAACTAACCCCAGGTGGAAAGACAAGAAAGAATCCTTTTACTTCTTACTTTATAAATTCTGTAATGCTTATAAACTCCATAGTTTTTTAACTATATTTAAGTTGGTGAAGTTAATGCAGTTGATCATAAATTGCTCTCTGATGCTGGCAAAAACAGTCATTGCAGTGATATACACATAACTCTGAGTAGCACACTGCATCTGCAAAGCCACCTTACCTAACAGTGAAACTCTACAGTTGAGAGAGAAATGCCCTGTGACCAGCTGTCACACTACTTCAGAGTATACTCTTCTCACCAGAAGCACCAGTGACAGTAACATGTTCCAACAAAACCTGTCACCGAAGTCTCCGTGCTCTGTGACCCTCACTGAGGTGTCAGGAGGACATCTATCAGGGGACAGGATGCCTAGCAGGTCATTTCTAGGGAAGAATAAGATAACAGCACACAAGGGCAAGATAAATCTCTGAGCACAAAATGTAATAAAAACACTGAACTCCCACAATGAGGTCATTATTTTTTAAAATCTGAGCTATTTTGTAGAATTACTAGAGTCCTGGTGCACAAAATTCATGCACAGGGGTGTGTGTGTCCTCAGCCCAGCCTGCCCCCTCTCCAATTTGGGACATCTCGAGGGATGTCTGACCCCAGGATTGAGCCTAAACAGGCAGTCAGACATCCCTCTCACAATCCTGGACTGCTGGTTCCAACCGCTTGCCTGCCTGATTGCCCCTAACCGCTTCTGCCTGCTAGCCTGATCACCCCCTACCTACTCCCCTGCCAGCCTGATTGACACCTAACTGCTCCCCTGCTGGCCTGATTGCCCCTACCTGCCCTCCCTTGCAGGCCTGGTCGCCCCCAACTTCCCTCCCCTGCAGGCCTAGTCCTCACCAACTGCCCTTCCCTGCAGGCCTAATAGTCCCAATTGCCCTCCATCTTGTGGTGGCAATCTTCTGTCCATATGGGGGTGGCCATCTTTGACCACATGGGGTGGCCATCTTACGTGTTGGAGTGATGGTCAATTTGCATATTACTCTTTATTATATAGGATAAAATTACCTGTCACTTTAAAAGATGGGGTAATACCCACAGGAGAATGATGGCTGTCACTGGGTTAATTATACAGTGGGTATGTAGAGAAAGACATCATGGATTTCAAAAGGCCCTGAAAGAGCGGCTGAAGCGCAGCCACAGGAGAGGGCGGGAGGCACAGGACAGTTACCCACCTTTGACCAGCAGCTTATAGAACTGGGGTTCTAACGCGCCGACAGCCATGAACGCCCCGTCGGCCGTCCTGTACGTGGTGTAGAAAGGCGCGCCACCGTCTAACAGGTTCCTCCCTCGAGGCTGGTCCCACAGGCCCAGGTTTTGAGTTTTCCACAGAAAGGAACTTAGGTACGCCGCGCCTTCCACCTTTAAAGAAACAGAATACTACTTTCTACTCAGGCTTTTCTTTAATAGTTGTGCAAAAATGTTTATCTTAAGAGTATAACAAGGTTATATCTAATTATACAACTTCCTTGGTATTTAAGTTATGGTAGAGTTGGTTTCTATATTATTCAATTCAGAAAATTCTGTTCAGAAAACTAGAAGGTATTACTTTGTTCTCCCTTTCAAATAAGACTGGCAAAATATGGATAATGTTTGAAGTTAGGTGAGGACACATAGAAGTTCATTTATAGTATATTCTCTCTACTTTTTTTATATGTTAAAACTATCAGGATAGAAAGCTAAAAAGAAAGCACAAAGGCTTTTTGAAGTCCATTTTCTGATCTCAGTATTTATAAACACATACACACAGATATATAAAACATATCTCATTCTAAAGGTAAGTCACATTAAGTAAAATTTAACTTATTCTAGTTTGACTCCAAGCCCAAGAAAACTGTACTTATGTTTTTACAATATTTTACCTTCAATGATCACTAGAAAGTCTCAAAATACAGGCACACCTCACTGTATTGCATCTCGCAGTATTGCAGTATTTATTTATTTATTTTATTGATTAAGGTATTACATATGTGTCCTTATCCCCCCATTCTCTCTCCCATCCACCCCAATCATGCCCCCATGCTCCTCTTGTGTGTCTTGGTTAGGCTTATATGCATGCATACAAGTCCTTTGGTTGATCTCTCCCCCTTCTCCCCACCCTCCCTACCTTCCCTCTGAGGTTTGACGATCTGATCGATGCTTCTGTCTCTGGATCTGTTTTTGTTAATCGGTTTATGTTGCTCATTATATTCCACAAAGGAGTGTGATCATGTGATATTTATCTTTCCCTAACTGGCTTATTTCACTTAGCATAAAGCTCTCCAGTTCCACCCATGCCATTGCAAATCGTAAGAATTCCTTATTTTCTACAGCAGTGTAGCATTCAATTGTGTAGATATACCAGTTATTTTATCTACTCATCTGCTGATGAGCACTTAGGCTGTTTCCAAGTCTTAGCTATTGTAAATTGTGCTGCTATGAACACAGGGGTGCATATGTTCATTCTGATTGGTAGATCAGGTTTCTTAGGATATATTCTGACATCCTGCTAGGGATCACTGGGTCAAATGAGATCAGTTCTGGATTAGGAGAGGGATGTCTGACTGCCGGTTTAGGCCCAATTCCACAGTCAGACATTCTCTGAGGGGTCCCTGATTGGTGCAGGCTGGGCTGAGGGACACCTCCCCACTAGTGCATGAATTTTGTGCACCAGGCCTCCAGTATACCACTATATATATATATGTGTGTGTGTGTGTGTGTGTGTGTGTACACACATTTACATACTAGTAAATAAGCAATTAAATGTCATTAATAAATTATTTAAATTATTATGAAATAAGTGCTTAGCCTAAAATTCTCCTTAAAACTCTAAAGGCCTGTTTACCCTTAGTTCAGTCCTTTTGGTCACAGGGACCAGTAGAGGGCAGCAGAGGGCAATAACGGAAAGCAAGCGCTTCTGTGTCAAAGGGCCTGAGCAGCACTTCTGACCCTTGAGCTCCTTTCTAGCCATGCTCCCCTGGTCTGAAAGTCTTCCAATGCCAGATGAGAGGAGCACACCTCCTCCGGGGGGCTGTGGGCATCTGAGGAGGCAGACACACAGAGCACGCCCAGCCTTGGGCTTGCCCTGTAGAAAGTGAGTCTGGCACTACTGCAGGTCCTAGTGCACGCTGGGACTGTGCGAGGAGCGGGGACAGATCGATGGGCACAAAGGCCAATGTGAGCTGCACCCTGGGGGCAGGATCACTAGGCACAGAAGCAGTGACAGAGCTGCAAGCGCCGAGCCTGAGAGGAGAAAGTACGGCAAAGGCTCCAGAGATGAGGGATTCTGGCAGGAGACAGCTTTCACAAGGTCCTCGATGACAAATCCAGCTTACTGTATAAGACTCTTCTGTTTTAAGCACTGAGATTACCACCATATATGGCCCCTGACCATTCCTTTATCTTGGAGCTTTCTCTTTCCTTTGTTTCCATGACAACACTCCCTTTGGTCCCCCCACTTAGCACTGGCTGCTGCTCTGCCCCCTTCCCTAGCAGACCAGTCTCGCATGCTCCCGGATGGCTGAAACCTGTTTCTAACTTCAGGTATGCATCTGGGTATCTCCAGGCACTTCAAACCTGGAATCACCGAAGACAAATTCCCTTCCTTTTTTTTAGTAACAACAACGAATTCTTCCAAAGTGCAGATGCCATTATTACGAAGAGCGGAGGCACTGGGAGGTTAAGTCACTTGCCCAAGATCACAGAGCTAGGAAATGGCAGCACCAGGATGGAGGAAGTCAGCCATCAGGGTCTGTGCCCTCGACCACTGCCCATACTGCCTCTTCCTTCAGTAACCCTCCTGCAGGGGCCAGTGACATATTCACCAGGTCACCCACACCGGAAATAAGGGAGCCATCCTCGATCCTTCCTCTCCCCTTGCTGTCTGTGAACTGCCGAATCCCAGCAATCCACATCTCAGATAGCCCTTCAATCCACACCTGTTCTACCACTAACTACACGGTACTTGCTCTCATCTCTTGGCAATAACCCAGGAACGTCTCTCTGCCTCCAGCCTCATCTCCCTCCAGTCCGACCCCCATCTCCCATATAGTGGCATTGATTGGGCCCTTACCAACCAGCTGTGAGACCTTGGCACATTCCCATGCTTCAGTGTTCCGCTCGTTAAATAACCATGTGTTCCAAACGAAGCTGCATTAGGAGAAATCACGCAGGGACAATGCCTAGCTTACCCCCTGCACAAAGCACATGGCCAAGGTCAGTGTCAAAGCCGAAGCATTATGATGCCGAGGTCTCCCCTACAAAGGGCAGCGAAAAGGTCCGGCTGGCTCCATTTTACCTTCACATCCGTAAGAATATTCTCTGCTAGGGAAGACTTCCTGAGTCCAGTTTTGAATGAGGGTTTCTTGAAAAACTATATTCTAATCACAAGAAACAGCTTGGGGGAAATTAATAAAACACAAGAATCAGGTGAGTCATGAAAATTATATAAGATGGACTCGGACTCCATAGCCACCTGATTAAGATAGGACATTCTGACGTGTGTAAAGGACATGAGGCTATTTTTTTCTCTACAGATGTCCCTGGTAACCTGGACTCAATCTCCAAATCTCACCGATCTCTTGTCTTGTTCAGAAAAACACTTGAGGCGGCCTCTATCACACTTAGGGGGCACCGGCAGGGCCATCGTTTCCCGGGGACACTCACCATGCTGACGTCGATGAGCTGGCCCTTGCCGGAGCGCGTGCGCTCGAAGAGAGCCATCACGATGCCCAGCGCGCACATGAGGCCGCCGCCGCCGAAGTCGGCCAGGAGGTTCAGGGGAGCAGACGGGTTCTCACCGCTTCTGCCCAGCCTGGACAGGACACCTGCCGAAATAGCCGGAGACCACTGCTGTGAGGCTGCCGTCTCCTTTAAACAAATACATGAGCACACAGGAGCCACAGTCTCTCCGGCTGCTGACATAAATGGAAACTAGTCCCTGATGCTTTTCCAATCCTAAGGGCATCCAGCCTACTAATAACCAGACTTTCCCTCTGGCCAGGCTCCTCCTTTTGTTCTTGCTCCTCTAAAATTTCATTCCACTGGACGTTTTCAGAATTTCATTTGTAAGTTTTTTACCTATTGAGGAAAATGATTCCAGAAGGGGGGGGGGGAAGATTGTTATCAATTTAGTTTATGACTTAACAATAGCATAATGCACTTCCATTCTTATTAGAAAAAGATGCAATAATCAAACACAAGAAAAAGAGAAGGGATGAACTAGATTTGAAAAACCAATTCTGTACTCACTCTTTCCTCAACCTTTAATGGTGTACTCACAGACTTTGAGACAATTTACTCAACAACCCACAAGCCTTAAATTCTAGAATCAGGCCATTCTAAGACATGCTCTCACAGATAACATTTCAAATAAAGTGATATTACTACCTGAAAAACAAGTTGTCTAGTATCTATAAAAATCGAAAATGGTGACCCAGGCAATAGTTCTCAGTGGAGGTGGAGGAAGCGGGGTGTCAGACTCACACCGCACCAGCATTTTCTAACGACAGAGCAACCACCCCTATCGTCACGCGGGCCCTGACTCCCTGGCAGGGAGTCACTCCCTCAAAGTGACTCCACATGTAGCAAGAATGCTACTGCTGAGAGCATGTCACCCATCAGATGTGTGAAGACCGAGGACGGGGTCGAGCGGGGCTGCTCCAAGACAAGCCAGCCCTTTTGAACCACCGTTCTGTCCTGATCGACTTAGACGTTCACCGTGAAAGACTCCTTTTCATGAATCCGTGTGACGTTAGGACCTGACTGGAAACAAGATGGGACGTGTGGGGATGTCATGTTTCCAGCACACCTGACAGAGCCAAGTAGTTGATGTCGTGGCCTGCTACCGTGGCGAATCTTCCCGACTGGCCGAACCCGCTCAGCCTGGCGTAGATGAGCCTGGGGTTCTCCTTCTGCAGGGTCTCGGGGCCCAGCTGGAGTTTTTCCATGACACCTTGCGAGGAAAAAAAAAATTTTTTTTCTTAAGGGCACATGGATCGAGGATGGGGCAAACATAAGACAGCACCCTTGCAAGTAATACTAACAACATGTGTTGTTAAGCCCAGCACGGCATGACTTGCAAGTGTCCATGCAAGTCTAAAGTGGTGACTCAGGCAGTGATTCCCAGTGAGGGTGGAGGAGGAGCGGCGTCAGAATCAAACACATCAGCATGTCCCAGCTACACAGCCAGCGGGCGTTCGGAAGCCACCACTTCTGGAAGGTGTGGCTTCTGCCCCAGAACGCTGTCTCCGTCCAGCCCTGCCTTATTTCCCTCCCGGCCTCTCCGTCCCTGCAGCGAGCACTTCAAGCCCTCTCCCTGGCCATTCATGAGAAACGGTGTGTCCTCGTGGGACTATTACCCTGGGTCTGTGTGTGGCCCCACGCTCACGTTTGAGCACTGCTCTTCCTCTCAGGACCTCTCCTTGTTCCATGCCAGCATCGGTGCCACCACCTGCGGCCTCGGGGTGTACACATGCCACTTCCCCTCTCAGCTCAGCTCTGGGGCAGGATTCCTGCCTGACCCCACGCCAGGCCTTCAAAGCGCCTAGCACCCGTACCTTCACAGACAAGCTCAGGGAATGCCCACGGAAAGCAAGGCAAGCTACAACAGCACCCAAGCGCTCATGCGATCAGCAAGTACAATATCTGCTGCACAGGGTTCAGGTAACTGGCACCCAAAGCCTCCAGGAATTAAAAGTGATTAAGAGAATCCAAGATGGCTGTTCGGGTAGGCAACTAGCCGCAGCCGCACACAACAATTTCAACAAAATACAACTAAAATATAAAATGGACATTTCCAGAACTACAGGAAAGTCGACTGACTGGAAATTCTACAACAAGAAGCAAGGAGAAAACCAGAAGGAAGCGCGGAGGAGCTGTAAAAGCCCAAGGTACGGAGACACGCGGCGCGCGAAGAGGACAGAGCTGGAGAGGACAGAGCCGGAGAGGAGGGAGGCCGAGTGCCTGGCTGGCCATCCCAAGCGGGAAGGAGAGAAAAGCTCCGACTGTGCTGGGCCCAGCTCCAACTGCTCTGAACCCCAATTCTAGGCCAGACCCCGGGGACCCAGGCTCATCCATAGGGAGCCGGGCTGTAAGGCGGGATTCCGGGGAAGCGGTGAAAGGAGGTCCTGGAGGCGCGCACACTGCGTGCAGAGAAGGGCCGGCCGGCTGTGCCGTGGGATTGCCCTGACGGGAAGGTGACAGGGGCTCCAGACTGCTCTGAACGCCACCTCCAATCCCACTACCAACTGAACTGAACCCCAATACCGGACTCATTGGGGGAGAGCATAGACAGTTTGGCAGCAGGCGAAAATCGAGGGCACCTTTCTCTCAGAGGCGCTTGCAACAAGTACTGAAGGACCCTGAGTCTCAGGAGTCGCATAGGGCGGGGCTGACGGAAGCCAAGGCTGTAGGCTCCACCCTGAAACCCTGCCCCATCAGGAAAGCTGCCTGCGAAAATGCCTAAACCAAATAGATCACAAACGAAAGAAATGGAGGACAAAAAGCGACTGGATATAGAGTTCAAAACCACACTTATAAGGTTGTTCAAGAATCTCCTAGAAAAGGCCGATAAAATAAACAAGACCTATGAGGATATGAAAAGGGATCAACTAGAAATAATAAGGGATCAACAAGAAATAAAGAATACATTGTCTGAAATAAATAATATTTTATGGAGTCCTAAAAACAGAATGGAAGATCGCAAGAATCAAGTCAAAGATTTGGAACATAAAGAGCCAGAAGACACTCCTTCGCAGACACAAGAAGGCCAGAGAATCCAGAAAGTTGAAGATAATGTAAGAAGCCTCTGGGACAACTTCAAGCGAACCAACATCAGAATTATGGGGGTCCCAGAAGATGAGAGAGAGCAAGATATCGAAAACATACTGAAAGGAATAGTGACAGAAAACTTTCCCCACCTGGTGAAAAAATTAGACTTACAAGTCCAGGAAGCGCACAGAACTCCAAACAAAAGGAATCCAAAGAGGACCACACCAAGACAAATCATAATTAAGATTCCAAGAGCAAAAGACAAAGAGAGAATATTAAAAGAAGCAAGAGCAAAGCAGGTAGTTACCTATAAAGGAGCACCTATACGATTGTCAGCTGATTTCTCAACAGAAACCATGCAGGCCAGACGGGAATGGCAAGAAATATACAAGGTGATGAATAGTAAGAAACTACAGCCAAAGATAACCTACTCAGCAAAGCTATCACTCAGAATCGAAGGTCAGATAAAGAGCTTCACTAATAAAAAAAAAGCTAAAGGAGTTCATCACCACCAAACCAGAATTATATGAATTGCTGAAGGGGGTTCTTTCAGAAGAGAAAGTAAATAAAGATAAAAATTATGAACAACAAATACGTAACTATCAACAAGTGAATCTAAAAACCAAGGAAACTAAAAAAAAAAAATCTGAGGAACAATATTAACTGTTGAATATAATAGAATCAGAGGTATGGAAGGGGAGTGAACTATTTATTCTTGGGGAAAAGGGGAGAGGGGGATGTGGGAAGAGACTGAACATAAACTGTGCACCTATGGATGAGGACAATGGGGGGTGGGGAAAGGGCAGAGGGTGGGGTGAGAAGGGGGGGAAAGGAACATTTGTAATAATATGAACAATAAAAATTTATTAAAAAAATAAATAAAAGTGATTAAAAGTTGCATAACACACTCCTGTAACAGTTTTCCTAAGACTATAACTCATGCAAGAGTGCTGTTCTCCTCAGACATAAATACCTCACCTGGCACAGGCCCTCACCCTGCAGCTTCATCTGTGTTCACAGCTCTATCTCCCACCTGGTTGCCAGGCACTGGACAGATTAACCAGTCTGAGCTTCCCTCATCTTCAGACGGGGATTATAAATTGTGATATAACCCCAATTATACTCTCCTCCAAGCTGGCTGTGAGGGGAGATGGGTTGAACCGGTGGTCGGCAAACTGCAGCTTGCGAGCCACATGCGGGTCTTTGGCCCCTTGAGTGTGGCTCTTCCACAAAATGCCACGGCCTGGGCGAGTCTATGTTGAAGAAGTGGTGTTAGAAGAAGTTTTAAGTTAAAAAAATGTGGCTCTCCAAAGAAATTTCAATCATTGTACTGTTGGTAGTTGGCTCTGTGCACTCATGAGTTTGCCGACCAGTGCCATCTGAACAACGCCTGGCGCCTCGCAGCCATCCAATCCATTCACTAAACATTGACCCACTTCCTGCTCTACCCCTGGCGAAGCTTTGGGTCTGTCCTGGAGCAGGACTGCCCTGAGCGGGTCCCAGTGCTGCAGACCCAGCAAGAAGCACCTGCCAAGGTTGTGACCCCAGCGCCCCAAGTAGGCAGCGGCAGGTGCGGACACAAAGCGGGATCCCGAGGGAGAAGGGCTGGCGGAGTGAAAGGAGAGCTGAGTCCCGGGTGAAGGCAGGTTTCTGGTGAAGGCAGCGGGGCGGACATGGTTCCACGCACTGAGATAAAGGACGCAGGAGAAGCCAGGGCAGGAGGGAGGACGATGGGCTGGGGTTGGGGTTTGTGGGGGCGGCGGTTCCTCTGTACACCCCTGTGTATTCGCCCCCGAAATCCACGGCTCGAAAGGAGGGGTGTGCCTGAGAGACCAGGGCATCACCTGCCTGCGAACCCTGAAACTAACGGGATGGATGGAGGTGGCTCCAGGGAGCGGTGTGCATGAGCTTGAGCTGATGCTGGCCCTGGGGATCACCTGCTCTGGAGGCAGAGGTGTCAGCCTGGGTCAGGGGGTACATCATCCCACCCCCTCTCCCCGAAATGCAGGCCGTTGGCTCTGTGCCGTGCCTTCAGGCCGCTTTCCGGGTAGAGGCCTGTGCCTTCCCTTAGATTCTCAGAGGACTCCGACCCGGGGACCTTGGAGAGGCAGGCACAGACACACACGGGGACTGGGCAGGGAAAGGGGGGGGGTGGGAGAGCGCGGGCCCAGCAGGCCCGGGATGCACAGCGGGAAGAGGCCCCGGGCCAGGGTGAGGGCCTCCTCCACAGGGTGCAGGTCCCGGGCCAGGGTCAGGGCCTCCTCCACAGGGTGCAGGGGCCGGGCCAGGGTCAGGGCCTCCTCCACAGGGTGCAGGGGCCGGGCCAGGGTCAGGGCCTCCTCCACAGGGTGCAGGGGCCGGGCCAGGGTCAGGGCCTCCTCCACAGGGTGCAGGGGCCGGGCCAGGGTCAGGGCCTCCACCACAGGGTGCAGGTCCCGGGCCAGGGTCAGGGCCTCCTCCACAGGGTGCAGGTCCCAGGCCAGGGTCAGGGCCTCCTCCACAGGGTGCAGGGGCCGGGCCAGGGTCAGGGCCTCCACCACAGGGTGCAGGGGCCGGGCCAGGGCCTCCACCACAGGGTGCAGGGGCCGGGCCAGGGTCAGGGCCTCCTCCACAGGGTGCAGGTCCCGGACCAGGGTCAGGGCCTCCTCCACAGGGTGCAGGGGCCGGGCCAGGGTCAGGGCCTCCTCCACAGGGTGCAGGGGCCGGGCCAGGGTCAGGGCCTCCTCCACAGGGTGCAGGTCCCGGACCAGGGTCAGGGCCTCCTCCACAGGGTGCAGGGGCCGGGCCAGGGTCAGGGCCTCCTCCACAGGGTGCAGGTCCCGGACCAGGGTCAGGGCCTCCTCCACAGGGTGCTGGGGCCGGGCCAGGGTCAGGGCCTCCACCACAGGGTGCAGGGGCCGGGCCAGGGTCAGGGCCTCCTCCACAGGGTGCAGGTCCCGGGCCAGGGTCAGGGCCTCCTCCACAGGGTGCAGGTCCCGGACCAGGGTCAGGGCCTCCTCCACAGGGTGCAGGTCCCGGGCCAGGGTCAGGGCCTCCTCCACAGGGTGCAGGGGCCGGGCCAGGTCCCGGGCCAGGGTCAGGGTCTCCACCACAGGGTGCAGGGGCCGGGCCAGGGTCAGGGTCTCCACCACAGGGTGCAGGGGCCGGGCCAGGGTCAGGGCCTCCTCCACAGGGTGCAGGGGCCGGGCCAGGGTCAGGGCCTCCTCCACAGGGTGCAGGGGCCGGGCCAGGGTCAGGGCCTCCTCCACAGGGTGCAGGGGCCGGGCCAGGGTCAGGGCCAGGGTCAGGGCCTCCTCCACAGGGTGCAGGGGCCGGGCCAGGGTCAGGGCCAGGGCCAGGGTCAGGGCCTCCTCCACAGGGTGCAGGGGCCGGGCCAGGTCCCGGGCCAGGGTCAGGGCCTCCTCCACAGGGTGCAGGGCCGGCCTGACCGGCGCTCACCGTGGCGGAAGGGCTCCAGCAGCACGTCGGCGCGGGCGCACAGGCGCCGCACCAGGGCCGCCCCGCGCGGCCGCTTCAGGTCCACGGCCAGCGAGCGCTTGCCCCGCGACAGGCGGCTCACGTCGCCCGCGGCGCCCGGCCGGTCCACGCGCACCACCTGCGCCCCGAAGTCCGCCAGGACCATCCCGCAGAACGGGCCGGGCGCCAGGCCCGCCAGCTCCACCACCGACACCCCGCGCAGCGCCATGGCCGCGCGTCCCGGCGGCCGGAGGGCGGAGGGCGGCGGGCGGAGGGCGGCGGCCGGAGGGCGGAGAGCACGGGGCCGCGTCCCCACGGCCGGCCCGGCGCGCTGCCCCGAGGGCGCCGCCGCCTCCTGCGCACGCGCGCGGCGCGGACTCCGCCCAATGAGCGCGCCCGGCCCCGCCCCCCGGGGCGATGGGCGTGGCGTCCGCGGAGCCATGTCCAGAATGACCCCGGGTTTGACCTTGAGGGGTTTCAGGCCTGTCCCTGTCCCCTTAGGACGCTTTTCCTCCCATCTTCCTGACCCAGCCGCTGTGCCCCTATATCTGCCCGTTCCTGGAGAAATAAAAAGTGAATAACTGTTTAAGAATGATGCTATAAATTAAAAAAATAAAATAAAAGCTCTAGCAGGTTTTGCTCAGTGGTTGTAGCTCCGCCCGCTGACTAGGTTCAGTTCTGATCAAGGGCGGTGCTTAGTTTGCAGGCTCAATCCCACCCCCCACCCCCCACCCCCCCCCCCCACCCCCTTTGGTCAGCGTGTGCAAAAGGCAACCAGTCCACGTGTCTCTCACCTCCATGTTCCTCTCTCTGTGTGTCTCCCCCCCTCCCTAAAAACCAATGGGAAAATATCCTTGGGTGAGGATAATCTTCCACAAAAACAAAAAGGATGCTATTCCCACCTGTGGCCTGCACATTGTCTCCTTCACCGCCCGTGCTTCTAAGCACGGATGACTGAATCCACACGGCTTGAGATCCCTTCTAGATGCACTCGATTTTGAGTTACAAACTGTGGATGACATGCCTTTCGGTGGGGGGGGGGGGGGGGGGAGAGTTCAAACTAAACTACGGAATATGTATAAAGTGTATTATCAGAAGGTCAAATGAGAGAGATCTAAAAATACTTTGGATTTGTCACCTGCCATTTCTGTGAATAATGACAACCGAGTTTTTCATTTTAACGCACAACCGTTTTTTCTTTTTTTTTCTTTTTAAAGTACAATAAAATAAGTGATCGCAAACAGCCCTACGGCTTTTACAGACCATCTTCTCTCAGCTCTGTGTGGCCTATATGTAGGGAGCATGGTCATTGGACTGTTCTGGAATTTTAATGGAGCCAGAAGTGGGTACCAGCACAATCATCAACCTGCCCTCGTCCTTTCATAAATAGGGTTTGTGTATGCTGAGGCAGGTGACTAAAACGGAGGCCACGCTTGGCACCATGGTGATCACCGTCTTTCAGGCAAGCTTGAAGTAGTCTTCATCCGTTTTAGAATTATTTGGGGGCTCTTGTGGCTTCCCCTTTGTGGCCTTGTTACACCCAGACTTCGAGATCCCCAAGGACACCAGGGAGCCGAGTCCCAATAAACAAAAGAGCCTATTCCATGCTAGCATGGGCTCTGTCCCACTCACGCCGGCAGCATGGCAGAGAAGAGAGCGAATTTTGCCAAGCCCTGGGTTTTACTCCGGTGGTGATGTCACTGCTTTGGCAGACCCTGATTGGTTGGGTGAGGGCTAGGGTCCAATTACAAAATGGAGGATAACTCGGCCCTGCCCCACAGTGGAGGCAGGAGTTTATCCTTGCCCCGCCCTGCCCTCTCAACCTCTCCTTAACCCAGACACCTTCTCTTGGCCTTCATCTCTGAGCAGCCTCGTTAACAGACATACGGGGCATATTAAGAGCTTGAAGAATTTAGAAGAGCAAAAGTCTATTCCAATCTGAGTGTCCAACTGGAAGTGGTCAGGTGTGCTCTACCAGCATGAACTGAGGAGAGACTTTCACAGAAAAAAAACAAACACAAAAAGGTGGAAGCCAGACAAGGAAATGGTGGATGGGCTGTGGCATAAAGCACAATTGGCTGTTTGTGTTGGTCGTTCTCAGGTTTTGATGGCGCGATCTTGAGGCTTTTCAGGCTTAGGTTTTTGTTTGCTTCTCACGATGCCAGAGCATTAGAGCCCACCTTGGTCTCAGGGCTTCCTTGTTTGATTAATTTAACACTTCCTGGTCCCTCTCTCTCCAATGTTTCTCAATGGCATTTGAGAGTGTCCTTAATATGTTAGGGCAAACCCTAGGAAGACACAAAAATATATAAAAAGTATAATGTCAAATGATTTGGTTTATTACTGTGTTCTCAAAAAGAAAAAACATAAAGATGTGCAGGAAAAGACAGATATAAATACTTCAAAATACTAGTATTATTGTATGTTTGGTGCAATGATGTTTATACTAAATGCTTTTATGTATTTTACAAATTTCTACAGTATGTTTTATAATCAGGGGGGAAAAAGTAACATTCCAAACATAATAAAGCATGAAATTTCTCTGATCATAAAACACCACCTTTTCTACAGCTGTGTCATGCTGTGAGCTGGGTGTGATTTCTCTCTCCTATCAATCCCTAGCCCCTTGCCTTCTGTGGCTTTTAAAATATGCTTTACATTACGTCATCCATGCACTGACTCTCATTTGCCTCTCTTCCTCCATTAGGCTTAACAAAAAACTTGGAGACAGGAAGTTTTCCTAAAAGAAAAGATTATTGAGCTACTTACCAGCCAGAAAAGGGCCAGGTTCTGGGACAAACCATCTAGTCCAGTGGTCGGCAAACTCATTAGTCAACAGAGCCAAATATCAACAATATAACAATTGAAATTTCTTTTGAGAGCCAAGTTTTTTAAATTTAAACTTCTTCTAACGCCATTTCCTCAAAACAGACTCACCCAGGCCGAGGTATTTTGTGGAAGAGCCACACTCAAGGGGTCAAAGAGCCGGATGTGGCTCATGAGCTGCAGTTTGCTGACCACGGGTCTAGACCAGCAGCTGGGTTGGATGGAGAAGGCAAGCATACCCATCATCCTGGGATGGCCAGGAACATGTGTTTGAGGAAGAAAGATGTAAGTTGCTTTGAAAGGACTTACATTGTCTCTAGATAAGGGGGCAGGGAAAAGGTAAATCAAAGAAAGTTCTAGAACATTCTGGGATAGGTGAATCGTCTGTAAGGAAGAAGTATTTGATGCTTCTGTGTCAGTTGTGGGAAACAGGCCAGAAAGTCCGCATGTAAGTAGGACACTGTGGCACCGGGGGGCAGCTTTTCTTTCCAGGTGGCTGCCGGGAAGCCCATTCAAGGACTCAGTCCATTCATGAAGGCTAGCCGTCTTCTGTTGGTTTCAGCCCCAACTGTTCCCCAGTGAACTTTCCTCGCCTCTTCCTCACACCCACCCTCCAGCCCGCTGTCATTTCAGTTAGGGCATCTCAGAATGTTGCTCTTCTCAGATTAAAAACTCACGGGTGGTGAAAATTGCATTTGAAATGCTGAGTAACTCCTGGAATAGCCCAGTATCTTTGCACAAAGTAGATGTTTATCCATTCCAGCCATGCCCTTTGCAGTTTATATTTAACTAGAGGCCCAGTGTATGAATTCATGCACCAGTGGTGTCCCTTGTCCTGGTTTGTGGGACAGGGCCGAAAAAGGGTCTCTAACATCCCCTGAGGGGTCCCAGATTGCAAGAGGGTGCAAGCCAGGTCGAAGGATCCCACCAGTGCATGATCAGGGCCAGGGAGGGAGAGTGAAGGTTGCAGGGAGTGTCAGGCCCATCTTGCTCAGTCCTGATCATAGGATCCCAGCAGCAAGCTAACCTACCGGTTGGAGTGTCTGCCCCCTGGTGATCAGTGTAGGTCATAGTGAGCAGTTGAATGGCCTTAACATATCATTAGCATGTTATGATTTGATGGGTTGAATAGAAGACAGGACAACCAGACACTTAGCATATTAGGCTTTTATTATATAGGATTATTCTATCCTTTGCTTGAATATTTTTTACTTTAGCTTTTGTTTGCAATTTGCTGAATAATATTTCTTCAATATAATCTACTTGTTTAAAGTTCAAATGCAGCCCTTCACCCGGCCTGACCACTTTGTGGAGCAGCTAGACTGAGCTGACTGCATTTCTGCAGCAAGCAGAATCCCACATGCTTCATTTATGGACTTTACCTTCCCTTGGGTTTTAGAATTTAAGTTGGTTGCTTAGCCCAGCCAACATGGCTCAGTGGTTGATTGTCAACCTACAAACTGGGAGGTCATGGTTCCATTTCCTTAATCCCCAGTGTGGGGCATACAGGAGGCAGCCAATCAATGATTTTCTCTCATCAATGAAGTTTCTATCTCTCTCTCCCCCTCTCCCTTCCTCTCTGAAATCAATAAAAAAATAATATTTTTAAAAGTTGGTTGTTTAGATGATACCTTTACATTTCCCATGGCACCTGCCTCCCATCTCCTCTACAGAGCGTCAGTTTTAGGAAGATTTGTAAAATCAGTTTTTCAAATTCTGGGAGGCAGTAAAATTGGGAACCATTGATATTTATCTTCATTTCCTCCTACCTTCCTTACTAATCACTCTTTTTCACACCTGGGACTTATTAAAAAGTCCCAAGTGCTTTCTGCCTGCCACAACCAGACCTTAGGTGTCTGTCTCTACTAAGGTGAAGACTGGAATTTCAGATTCAACATAGAAAGACTTTGTGTTGTGATGACGTTCCCTTCCCCTGCAAGACACTCGGGTTTCATTAAAGGGTCCCCTACAGCAACCTCTTAAAGAGGTTGAAGCTGTTACAATGGACTAACTGAAAGAGGAGTTTGGAGGAGACAAGTGACCCACGTCTGTGCCCACAGAAGTGACTGTGTGACCCTTCCCATCACCTGCATTAAAATATGTTAACTTTGCGTTAACAAATCATGGTGACTTACAATGGTAAGGCAATTCAACTTTATTAAGGACATCATAAAACAGTACATTGAACAAAGGTGTGTTTATTATTTACATAATGCTTATTACATTTTCCTTGCCTCAATTTGATGGAAAGCCAGGCCAGTATCTTCTTCTAGGTGCTTAGCTTGTACTCTGTGTTCTTTATTTTTATTTATTTTGTGTGTGTGTGTGTGTGTGTGTGTTTGTATTTGTTCTTTGGATATGGAGTTCCTTTGGCATGCAACATCCAACTATTTGTTGCCAACGCAATGTTACAGGATATTTATGTCATTTGGTCATAGTCAATATCAACCTAATTCTGTGGGGAAAAGTGAGGTGTTGGGGACACATACAAAATCACAAAAACACTTTCCAGGGAAGCAAGCACCCTTTCCATTCCATTTTAAGTGGCATGACATGTGCATTCAGGAAGAGTTTTAAAATATTTGCAAACAGGAAGGAAAGGGTCAAAGGCTGAACTGAGCATGGAACATGCTGTCAGCCAATAGAGGGGCCCTAATTAATTTTCTCCACCTCCAGCTGCAGAGGGATCATCAACAGGAAGTAAACCCATAGTGTAATCCTCTGTGGAAATCCAATGTGTAACAGAAAATAAATGAAGGGCTCATTACTCATAAGGGAATTCATTGTATGGTATCTGTCAGATAGCATCTCTCTAGTGCCCCTTAAATATGATTCAACATCAGGGTAAACACATATTCTACTGATATTTTCTTTGCATCAAATAGACCAATTATAGGTCCTATGTTTAAGTGTTATCTTCAGGTGTGTCTATGGTGCATCCTCATGAATAATGGCCTGGTGACCCATTTAATCCTCGGAGAATAGATTTTTAGGGACGGGGTAGGCAAAAGTCAAGTGACACAGCTGCTCTGTGAATATTGGCTAAACGTGGCAATCCAAAAAAGTCATAGCATTTTTATTTTTAAAAAGGCTAAGAGGTTTTATTGTATGTCTCCTATTTTGTATCCACTAGTTTGACTATGTATAACTAAGTCTACAGCGCCTTCAACATGACTTGTCAGTGTGTGTAAATTTCATGAGGGTAATCTCTAGAGAAAAGGTGGGCCTACACTGGCCTGCAGGTCAGCGCCAAACCAGACTTATTGTAATCTAAGAAACCTGGTGGGAAAGGGGCAACCTGGTAAACCAGATCTTGTCAATCCGACTCTGGATCAAGACACCAATTCTATTTTGAAAAATACAAACTACTAGAAGTTAGGATCTGATTACAGTAACATCCTTGTTTTAAAAAAAAATACGAAAAAAACGAGTCAATCATGTGTGGGCATGGTGACTACTTTTGCTACCTAAAAGCTATCAGGAATGACTAAAAAATATCTGTGCTTCATTTATGAATGTGGACCCACTGGATCAGAGTGCTACTTCCCAGTCTAGGTTTTGTACACATGTTTCTGGTACCTGGATCCTAGCAAGTGCCCCTGGTCTTGCCTCAGCCCCATCTTAATCACGGCCTCCTATTTGCTGAAAAGTCTTAAGTGATGAACTCAAAACTGCAGGGGTTCCTGAAAGTGGCTATTGAACTAAAAACACAGCTGCCAGAACTCTTTGCAAATGACTGCTCTATCAGCACCAGTATTCCCACCTATACCCAGCTGGGAAATCTCTTTTAGGTGCTTAGGGAAGAGGGATGAAGTGGTGAGTTTCTTAGTCAAGGTCACTTGGGGAAAACGGTTTTGTGTTTGATTCTCCTGAACCCCTGAGTCATCCCGCACATGGTTGCTGAATCTGTAGCCACATTAACAGTGTAACTGATATATTTGTTAAAAAAATACAACAGGTAGAACGCTTAACCCTAATGTTCCTCAGATGATAACAGTACCAGGTGAGCTATAAGTCTTCCCAGAGGGGAGCTGGTGGTCACGCATTCACTTAGTTTCAAAGAGCAGGAAGCCCGCGAAGGTGGAGAAGCGCTGGTGGTCCCCATGAAGAGCGCCGTTGCCCATCCTCAGCCACACCTCGTCGCCTTTGGCCAGCTTCAGCACCGCGTGGTTGCTGGACGTGTCTGACTTCCCCTTGGTCTCGTAGCTGGAAAGAGGAAAAGGCACCGTCTACTTAGGCTCTACAGTGGACCGCCTGCTCTTTTTTTACAAAATATATTTTATTGATTTCTTTTACAGAGAGGAAGGGAGAGGGATAGAGAGTCAGAAACATCACTGAGAGAGAAACATAGATCAGCTACCTCCTGCACACCCCCTATTGGGTATGTGCCTGCAACCAAGGTACATGCCCTTGACTGGAATTGAACCTGGGACTCTTGAGTCTGCAGGCTAACGCTCTGTCCACTGAGCCAAACCATTTAGGGGGACAGTCTGCTCTTTACCAAATTCTGTCCTCCCCTTCTCTCTCGGCTCCCCTGCATTTAGGGATAGTCCTGTGGTTGAGTCCTTTCGAGGACACGTGAACAGAAAGGGCATGTGCCACTGCTAGAATTGGCCAGTGCAACTCTCAGGAAGACCCCTCCTTGACCCTTCCTCGTTGTGATTGTGTGGGATGCTAACGACAATGACCAGAGGACCTTGGCAGTTGTGTGCTGAGGCCTGAGCTCTTGAAGAATGTGTAGAGGAAAGATCTCTATCGTCCTCCACACCTAGAGCTACCACTCTGGACTGTCCCATGAGGAGAAAAGGGGTTTCTACGGGGGCCAAGCCTTTACCTGGGGCCAGCATTAGTTTGGTTCACCCTAGCTGATTTAGAACTTGGCATTAGAGGGAGGGCTGCCAAACTAAAATACAGATGCTTGCCAAAACCGGTTTGGCTCAGTGGTAGAGCGTCTGTCTGCGGACTGAAAGGTCCCAGGTTTGATTCCGGTCAAGGGCATGTACCTTGGTTGCAGGCACATCCCTGGTGTGAGGTGTGCAGGAGGTGGCTGGTCAATGTTTCTCTCTCATCGACGTTTCTAGCTCTCTATCTCTCTCCCTTCCTCTCTATAAAAAATCAATAAAATATATTTTAAAAAAAATAAAAGGCTCTCTTTGAAAAATAAATAAGTAAATAAATAAAATACAGATGCTCCTTGATTTACGATGAGATTGTGTCCAAATAAACCCATTGTAAGTTTAATACTGTAAGTTGAATCATTATGCTGTACATCTGAAATGAATAAATTTGTATGTCAATTATATCTTAATAGGAAAAGTTTAACCTATGAACCTGGAGATTTCAGCTTGATTTCTAGTCAGGGAACATGCCCAGGTTGTGGGTTTGATCCCCCGTGTGAAGCATGCAGGAGGCAAACAATCAATTATTCTCTCTCATTGATGTTTCTATCTCTCTCTACTCTCTTCCCTCTCTGAAATCAATAAAATATATATATATATAAAATAACAGAGAATTGATAACAGCCCTAAAATTTTCCAAAGATAACTAATCACCTATTTAATTGTGGGGAAGATGTTAGCTCTCTGCCTCTTTCCCACATCTTATGCTTACATCACTCTAAGTTGAAATATTTCTTTTAAAAATAATTTCCTCCTCAAGGAGTCCTAGTGCCAGAGATAGATATCAGAGCCATAGCTCGGCCAGGAGAGAAGAACTCACTCCAAGCTCTCAATCCATCAGCCCACAGGGACGGTAGACAAGGCCATCAAAGTGGCTAAACTCTGAGCAAAAGGGGAGGGAGAGTAGGAATGTGGAAGGAAAGAATGAGAGAGAAGGAAAGATGATGGCCTTTTCACCTGTTTATGCCCAAGTTTATCAGGTTTATTGACCCCAATTAGTAGTTATAATCTGGCCATATCCTGGTACGTAGGAGTTCTCAGGGATGACAGGGTCCATGTCAGGGTCTACTGATTCCTATCTAGTCTTTGGCATTAGCCATCCTGTGAGCAGACAATGGTGGCGTGGACATTACCTTCGATTGAGAAGGCCACCCACCTGTACATGCTGAAGACCGTGTTGCCGTTGTGCATGAGGTACACATACACTTCCTCAACGTCTTCGTGCTTCATCATGCTGAAGGTGAAGAAATACACACCTGGAAAAGGCAGGCGTTCAGTCATGTTTAGGTTCATACATGGTACATTGAGGACCACGGACAGCAGGCAGATACAACCCAGGACTTCTCACTTGTTTTGTTGACAGTCTAAGGCAGTGGTCGGCAAACTCATTAGTCAACAGAGCCAAATATCAACAGTACAATGATTGAAATTTCTTTTGAGAGCCAAATTTTTTAAACTTAAACTTCTAACGCCACTTCTTCAAAATAGACTCGCCCAGGCCTGGTATGTTGTGGAAGAGCCACACTCAAAGGGCCAAAGAGCTGCGTGTGGCTCGTGAGCCACGGTTTGCTGACCACCGGACTATATAGTCTGCAGGTTCCTCGGGGCCCTTATTTGCACAAGGACTTCTCTATCTGCTCTCACCTTCAAACTGCTTTACTCCCCTCCCCCACTACCCCCCCAGACTTTCTTAATGTGCATAGTGTGTGTTAAAGGAAAGAGTCGACCTCATTTTGGCCATATGTCACTGCCTCCTCTTATCCTCGATGAAGTGCTTAAGACAAAGTAATAGAGTACAGAGCACACTCGCCACAGATTAGGCCAAAGATAAGAATATTGTAACACAGGTAAGTGTGTATTGGTGCTAGAGAAATAGTCCCAATAATTTCTCCCAATAGATATTGTAAGTAGGTGAAATTATGTACATTAAACAGAAAGATGCAATGTTGACTCAGCAGCATAATCTTGCTCCTATCAATATGAACCCTTCTCATCTGGAAAAGGCAAACATGTTTTAAAATATACGAATTTCTTTGTAAGATTTCGGGGCTCCTCATGGAATGCACCTTAGTATAACCTGACACATTTGAAATGCCAGTGTAGACCGGTAGCACCGTTACTGGGTGATTAAGAAGGATCCAATCATAGGAAGAGGAGAGGAAAGGAAAATCTCAGCTCCCAAGCATCCTAGATTTGGGAGTGCACTCAGGAAAGATGGTGGAACAGAAAGCAGGCTCTCATTGATGTCCATGCCGCGTTTTCAAACTAATGGCCACATATAGTTTATTCGAACTGCTGTAATAGAACACCACAGACTGAGCAGCTTAGAAACTATAGACATTTATTTCCCATAGTTCCAGAGGTCAGAAGACTGAAACCACAGTGCCCACTTGGCCAGATGAGAGCCCTCCTCCAAGTCATGGGCTTGTGCTTGTACCGTCTTTCAGCAGAGGGGCCGCTTTCACACAGGCACTAATCCCACTCCTGAGGGCTCCACCCTCATAATCTAATTGCTCCCCAAAGGCCCTACCTCCGAAAGTGATCATTTTGAAGGGATGTTGAAGGGAGGTGAGCATTTAGCCCACAGCAGGCTCTGTGAGAGAAAACCCCAGAGACATCTAAAACCAGCTGTGCATTGTTTTATCTCTTTTCCAAAGGTGCAATCAAGTAAGCTAGATGTGGGAAGGGTACTTGCTGATGCACCTGCTCCTGAGTCAAGGGGAGCCAAATAAAGAAGTCTGATTATGCTTCACTAGTGCCAGCTCACATACACAATGTGCTGGGATGAAAGGAAATAGTGTTCACATTAGCCATGTCCATTCATACTCCCAGCTGGTCCTCAGGTGAACAGTAGAAAACTCAAAGAAAGTAGTGTATATGTGTTCAGTTTTTTACATTTTACAAAACTTCCTATTACACACACACACACACACACACACACATACACATCAATTTTCAATGCCTCGAAAAAATAAAGCAGAAATCAAAGAACAGGAAAATATCTTTGTTTTTATGAAGAAAAATGATGACTACTGTAATAAATGAATTGCAAAAGCATTTCAGAAAGAGCAGATGGGGAACCCGAATGGTGAATAATAAAATCCCCAGAGTTGGAAATCCAAAAATGAATATATATCACACCCACACATGGTGTTTCCTCAGAGAACGCACTTGAACTATGGTTTTCAGATGTTACTGTAACTGCAAAAATCAACCTTTGTCTTGTCGCTCCCAAAGATGAATATCATAAAACAATCATTTTGCAATCTACTGGATGAGGCTTAAACAGTCAAGTGGGAGTCAAAATGATAGTTGCTATTATATTATCAGACTCATATCGAGCCAAAAGGAATTCTAAAAAACGACTACATCCATTACAGAGCCACGGAAACATTGACTGGGCTTATCGAGGTGTTTATATAAACTGTGGCACGGGTAGCGCTTAACGTAACAGTTCTAGGAAAATTATAAACTAAATCTTCAGAGCAGAAAAATCACAAAAGAAGTTTTAAAGTAGATTGAAGTGTGATGAAAGATTGTTCCTATCACTTCATATGACATTCACACCTGGCTTTAGCTGGGTAGAAAGATAAATCGAGGCGCACATTAATAGCATATGCAACAAGTCTAACATGGTCACTGCACCCATCAGAATTTTCATCTTTTCCTTCTGGGTATATCTAGAGAAACAGAAGGGATTGAAAAGAAACACCTAGAAGTATCCAATTTTCTGCAAAGCCAAGAGACAAAAACAAATAAATAAAAGCAACAAAACAATAAACTTTAAAAGTCCCATGGAGGAGACAAAAGGATGGGGCAGGGGGGTTTGAGGAGGTCATTTAGCAGCAGATCTCCATCCGTGCCAAGAAAAACACACTCCCTGATGGAGAAAGGCCCCTCTGAAGGACAGATGATGAGCTGAGACGAAGCAAAAGTAAAGAATTGGGGGAAGGTTGCTAAATAAATTGCAGAAGATATGGGAAGCAGCCACGCAGTGGCAGATCCTAGAACCCGCCAGCAAAAATAAGATGCAAGAGAAGTGCCAGGCTGGATTCAGAAGTCTTGCTGGACCCAGAGCAGTCTAGAGAGGCAGAGGAAGTGTGACCACACAGGGAGGCACACAGAGGGACTGAAACAAGAAAAGCTGTGCGTCCCCTGACAGCAGGGCAGGGAGCCACTGAGTTCCCAAGCCCGCAGGGCTGCTGGGCCCATCCTCACCCAGAAATGACTGCCTGTGGCGAGTGGGTCTATATGAGTCTGATAATGTAATAGCAACTATCATTTTGACTCCCACTTGAAAACCCAACCCATTCAACCATCAGTTCACTTTAAAAACTAGAAAAGCGCAGCAAAGATTACCAACAGGTGAAGAATACTCACCAAGAGGAGATGGTGTTATGCAGTAGATGAAAAATGCAGCCAAGTATTCCATCGTGAGTTTAAAATATAGCAACTACGCAAATAGGAAAAGATTATGAAGCAATGCAGGAATTCATGGTAGAAATGGCCAGACAAAAGGGGGAACTAGAAATCGCGACATCATGATTAACATTAAGACATTTAAAAAAATCATAGAAACAAGACAGAAGAAATTGGAAGAAGTGAAAAGAAGACATAATTAAGAACATGCAGGATAGAAAGAGAAGAAGCAAACAGCAGGAAATGGAAATGAAGAGCACTAAAAGATTACAGAAAATGACAGACACAGAAGACAAAGAAAAGTTAAAAACACAAGCAAGGTGTAATTGGAGTCCTTTAAAGAAGTTAGCCTGTGGTGGGCTAAGGTGCCCTGGGAGGGGGCAGGGAGGGGAATGCCTGTAAGTGGTCCACCCTACAAGGGAATATTTTATCACGGACATTGTTTAGAATGGCTGGCCTGTGAAGATAAAAACTCTGACTGACTTTTTATTGGTTTCATTACAGTTTTAAAATATTCTCTAGACCAAGTACCTCTTGTTACCAGGTTTCTTAACAAGTCAGACTGTTCCCACTGCCACCCCGCCTTAGCACAACAATGAGAAGATAAAACAGTATTTATGTTCTAAAAAGTAACTCAAAGAAACTTTTCTGGACAAAAAGAAGGCTTAAACCCACCATATCAAAAGGGCACAATGCAGAGTAGGAAAAGTTAACTCAGAATGACTAACAGTTATTCTAAAAACAAATCATTGGACTTTGAAGTGAAAGCAAGAATTCTTTGGTAAGTTAAAAAAAATGATTAAGTTACTTATAAGGAAAAACTTCAGACTTGTTTCAGAGTTCTTTGGGCCAAATGCTAGGAGACAGGGGAAAAAGAGCTGTAAGCCCAGGTTTTTACATGTAGCTCAAGTTCCCACAGAGTACAAAACATGTGAGGTCCCGGGAATGCTGATGCCATAAGCCTTAAGAAAATAATTAGAGGCTAAAGTTTAGCCGGTAAAGAGAAGCATGGGAAACTCTGGTGGAATAACTAATAGTGAACATTGACTATTTAAATTACATGAATAAGTCTAAACCAATAACCTCAGATTGAGAGGCACTAATCTAAAATATAACCCTCCCAGCCTCCCTGCCTCCCTTCCTTCCTCCCTCTCTCCCTTCCTTCTCTCTTAATTGCTGAATGGTTAATTCAATCATTCACTTATTTTTACATCTCACCTGACACTGGGGCCCCAAATCTACCAGTCATGACATCGAAGAAGTTTCCAATGTTGGTCTCAACGCTGCTGAAGATGATGCCGCTGTTCTGGTTGCTGAAGTGAGTTGCCAGGGAAGCCATGAAGGCGATCTAAGGAGAAGGGTGGGTGGTTACTTAATAGACAGCTCATTTTAAAGGAGTAGGCTTTTATACAGGTCAGTTTAGTTCAGCGGTGTTTGTAACAGCAAGATGGGAAATCACACAAACATTCATCTATGGCAAGTGAACTAAATAAATCATGGTCATTTACAACATATTTATGCTATGTGGCCACTAAAATGATTGTACATAGCAACAGTCTGATCATGCATTTAAAGGAACGTTAGACTTCAAAATGCTGTTTGAAATGTGAAAATTCTATTACCAAACCATATTGGGGAAATTTGGATGAAATCTTCTACATATAGCTATTAAGGGCACCTCGGTATGGTAAAGATTTGAGAAGCCCTTAGCCAGGGTGTAGCCACTCACAGCTTTGGGGTTAGAGTTGGCTTTGAGAATGAGTATCAGCCATCTTACTAGTGAACTTTAACCTGGCCAAGTGGCATTGACTCCTTCTGTTTGTAAATATACACTGGCATGTGGCTCCCAGGTTGCTAAAATTATTAAGCAGCATTCATTAAAATCTCACAAAAGCAGTTAGAGGAACATACAGGACCTCTTAGTTTTACAAGGCCCAGAAAAATGATGGCATTTATCCAGAGTCAAACAACCATTATCTATGCCCAAAATAAAAGGCAAAATTTTCCTCCATTGGTCTTTCAGACAGTTTATATATTCAAGTTGTGAAAACCCTTTTTATTTAGCCTGGCTTCAAATTTGGAAAATGGGAGATGAAGGACATTCAGGGTCGCCTTGAGTTTGGTTTATTGAGGGAGTTGTGTTTCACTCTTCCAGCATTTCTCTACTCCCTAAGGATGACTCTGAACAGCACAGAGCTTGTGCAAACCTCCTACACTAGAGATGAGCACACTGAGCCTAGGATGTCCTCCATGCTGGTGCCTGAGCTTTCCTTCCTGGACCGTGAGGCCCAGGCCGATGGGGCAGTCACCTGGGGACGCAGTCACCTGGGGACGCAGTCACCTGGGACGCCCGGCACGTACCTGAAGTTCGGGCGGGATCCCCGGATAGCCCTTTTCTCCTTTGGGGCCGTGCTGCCCGCGCTCCCCTCGGGGCCCCAGGTCTCCTTTGTCTCCTTTCTCACCTTTGGCCCCTTCGTGGCCAGTGGCTCCATTATTGCCGTTGTTTCCATGGTTTCCTTAAATGACCAGACACCTCACATGAGAAAGCGCCCCACTCATACTCACCATCTATTCTCTTCAAACACAGCCCCCAAACGCACAAGCTCAGCTGTAAAGGGGGGCCATTTGAAACAACCCCAGACACAGCCATGGGGGCACATCAAATGGGATCTCCTTTAAGCGGGACACTCTTAAGGCTTCAACGCCTGTTTTTCTGATAAAATGGGACTTAGATGAAAAAAATGTGTAGGAGATGGATGACCAAAGCATCATTTATGGTAGTTAAGATTAGAATCCACCTAAAGGACTCCCAATACTGGAAGGGCTAAACTAAAAAATAAAAATAAAAAAAAAAATAAAAGAAAATAGAAAAGAAAAAAAAAAAAGAGATACAACAGGGAGATGATGTTCTATAGTTATAAAAAAGAATGCTGAACAAAAGTAATAACATTAAAATATTCATTGTATTTTTCAATAGAAAGGTTATCCATCAATAGAGATAGCATGATACTATGTGTGTGTATGAATATATATATATATTGTGTGTGTGTGTGTGTTATACCTGAAGGGGGAAAGACTAGAACAAATTACATAAAAATATTTACAGTGATTTTTTTTTTCTAAATGGACAAAACATGAGTGATTTTTGTGTCATTTTTACATACTTTCCTATTTTCTTTCTGTGTGTTTCTAAAAGTTTTCTTCAAAGGACCCTTTTACAACTGGGGAAAAATAAACTCTTTGATAAAAAATTAGAATAATTTTGAAAGCAAGACGTGGCTAACAACTTCAGCTCTTCGCTTTATTTTGCCACAATGTCTGCAGCTCTTTTCTTTTTACATCTGTTGCATTTCGGGCCCTTTCGCTGTTGACTCTGGCTTGTCACCCTTTCAGATGGGTGAACTTTGAGTGTTTATAGGTCAGTGAGTTAATGACTAAACTGCTCCTGATGGGGAGCACTTAGCCAAGGCCAGCCTGTCCTGTCACCTGGGGAGAGTTGATCCAAGAAGATTTTGGAAGAGTCTGAATATCTCACCTCGAACCACTTACCTGCTGCCTGATGTCATTGATGGTCAATGACATTGATTCAATGCCAGGAATCACAGTTTAAATTCAAACGGGGCATTTTTTCATTTCATTTTATTTTTTAAATATATTTTTATTGATTTCAGAGAGGAAGGAAGAGGAAGAGAGAGATAGAAACATCAATGGTGAGAGAGAGCAATCCATCAGCTACCTCCTACATGCCCCACACTGGAGGTCAAGCCAACAACTTGGGCATGTGACCTCCTAGTTCGTAGGTTGATGCTCAACAACTGAGCCACACCGGCCAGGCAAATATTTTCTCACTTAAATTTGGTTACATTCAAGAAGCCATTCAATCGTATTTAAAAAATTAAACCTAATTTGTTAGACATTAGCATCAATGGGATAAATCAGGGAAGAGCAAGAGGACATTTGCCAAACCCTGAGAAAAGGTCCAACCCCAGGAATTAACCTGGAGAGAAGGAAGATGACTAAACCCCCAGACTGAGTTGGAAGTTCTAACCTTTCCCTGTCTGACCGAGGATACAGCAAGTTATCCAAACCCCACCTGCCGGGGACACCACTCAGCAGAGTAGGAGTGGGTGAATGGTGGGTCTGGAGAGGCATGGTGGAGCTCTACAGCACCCCCTCCCCACCCTGATCTCCGTCCCCCCCTCATCCCTCCCCGTGCCTCCATATATGCAAAAATGTTCCCATGAGACTAAGAGCCATAAAAGGCAACCAAGGGTCACTGAACATGAAAGGTGCCAAGGCTGGGAAAGAGAAATTGAACTGAATGAAGAATCTGACAGGAGGATGGGTAACTCAGTGAATGGCATCATGGAGATACCTGTAGCCTAGACCAGGAAACTCTCCTCTCCTTCACACCCTCACTTCACAAATTCCTTGAACGTTCGATACAGGGCATCACACGAACCTGAAGCAGGGATATGTTCCCGTTAAGCTCAGGTAGTTCCCCACTCCATGCTTCAAATGGAATTACAAATAATATTGAGGTGGTACTGCTCCAGCTAAACTGTCTACACACCCAGTCTACCCAACTCTCCTTTGGATTTTCCACGATACCCTTTGGATCACACCCAAGCATCTCAGGTGATTTGGGTTCACCCCCTGGCTCCTATTTTGGCACAGTCTGCAATTAGGCCTGCACAGTGCATCTCTCCCATCCTTACCTGGAATGCCAGGGGGGCCGGGAGGTCCAGGCGGCCCTTGGTAGCCTCGGAAGCTGTAATCTCCATGGCAACACTTACTGCAGTCTGGAGGCAGTCCTCCTGGTGATGGAGACTTTAAAAAAGACAAAGAGGAACTTCAGAGCAAGGTAATTAGGACTTCTGAATTTCTCTGGCCTTGATCCCTAGGCAAGTTTAACTACAAACAACCCACAACAACATAAGAAAATACTGAATGGGGTGGGGATGTCAATGGCAAAGGAGTCAGGGGTAGCTAAGATGAACCAAAGATCAAAAGGTAAAGGAACCAAGAGAATCAATCGGAGAACACACCCTTTGGAAAGGAGTGTGAGTGGGGCTGAGGGTGGGGTGTTGGGCAGTATCCTTAGAAGTACTTTTTCGCTGCAACTCATGACAGCAAGTGAGGAAACTTCAGAAACACCCCCTTTTCCCCCAAGAGCCTCAGATGCAGCTAGATTTGAGTACATGACCTCCAAAGGAGAATTATCAACTTTTTACAGAATATGCGTAAGGTAACTGCTAATACTCCTTTATTTTTTCATGGTTTGTGTAAATATTATACAAGATGATAAATACAGAAGAATGAGGCAGAAGGCAAAGCTCAGATCATGATCGTTCACAGGATAGAAATGATCCAGAGTAGCCTTTTTTCCACTAATAAAAACCATCAGACTTGCCTCCCATTTACCTGCCCTTCCCTTTTTTGAAAAAAAAGAAAAAAAGAAAAAAAAAGAAAAAAGAATTAGCCTTAACTCAGATCCCGTGGCTATGGCATTGGCCCTTCCCCAGTGGTCAACAAGACAACACTGATACCGAGACTGCCTAGGAATTAGCCTTCCTCGCTTTGTGAGACCACATTGTCTGACCAAAAGGTTATTATCAAAGCATACTTCAGATTAATTTATGTCCAAAAGAGGAACTGTGCACAAAAAATGGGGGGGGGGGTGCTTTAGAAAGTAACTTCACGGGGTGATCAGATCATAAATTCTAAATTCCTAACTGGGCAGGTCATGGTGAGTAGTCACATCCGAGGCCTATAACTTCTTTAGTGAAATGTTTTAAGGGACCCCTCTTGATTGTTCTTGTGCATCTGGGTTAATATACCTTCGAAATACCAAGGGGTTATTAACCCTCAAGAGAGCCCATAATCTTGTTCACTCTCCTGAAGTCCAATCCCCACCTTGCCTTTTCCAATCTGCCTTATGTCCTGTGCTTAATTTCATAAAAGAAGCTGCAAATCTGTTATTCCCAGGACCGTTTGGATCTTGCTCCCTGGTGTTGTCATCAGTTTGCCTCAGATAAATTCATTGTTAAAAAAAGAATGATCAACTTTCCATAGTTAGTAAGACTATGTTCGTAATATTGGGTTAAGAGTTCTTAAAAATTCTCAGTTGTAACTCTAGCTTTTCAAACAGCCAGAGCACCCCTACATTACCTTAGGAAATCAAGGAAATGAAGTATTCATATGTTTATGGGTTATGTCATTTTAAATTTAGTTTCATTTGAGAAACCACTCAAAGTTTTATTTCAGAAAATTAAACTTTGGTCGATAAATATTGGCATCAATGGAGAGAAGTCCTTCTGTCTTGAAACAACTTCAACTTCCTCTTAATAAGATTTAACCTGATGTTCCTTTTTGTATTCCACTTCAAACTTTAAAATGATTATCACATCGTTTGAACAAATATTTAATGAGTACTTAATGAATATTAAATGTGTTCAAATGTGACACTGAGTTAAAGGCTTATTTATTTAAAGATAAACTTCTAAAATGTGTGTTTTCACTTCAAGGAGCTAGAGATTGAGGGGAAGTTGATCGGCAAAAGAGTTGCAGTTGCTTATAAAGCTGGAGTCTCATCTGAACTGGAAACTTGCCGTTTAATTATGTCATACAGATACTTGTGGAAACTTTCCTAGACACCAACTGTAATTCAGTGGTTTCTTGAAAACAGCATATTGTTGCTAAGGGAGCCATAAAAAAAAAAATAAGAGGAATTTCAAAAGAAGAGAGAGGGAGAGACAAGAGGGGAAAAACGTAAAATTCACATTTTATAATTAGAAATCCAAGCAGAAAAGGCTTCATACTGCTGTACATCTAGACTTCACTTTTTTTTTATTTTAATAAAAAATGGACTTGGATGCTGGGCAGATATGGCTCAGTGGTTGAGCATTGACCTATGAACCAGGAGGTCACAGTCAGGGCACATGTTGGATTGTGGGTTCCATCCCCAGTGCAGGAGGCAACCAATCAATGATTCCCTCTCATCATTGATGTTTCTTTTTCTTTAAAATATATAAAAAAATCAATGAAATATATATATATATATATATATATTTCATTGATTTTTTTACAGAGAGGAAGGGAGAGGAATAGAGAGTTAGAAACATTGATGAGAGAGAAACATCAATGAGCTGCCTCCTGCACACCCCCCACGAGGGATGTGCCCACAACCAAGATACGTGCCCTTGACCGGAACCGAACCAGGGATCCTTCAGTTTGCAGGCTGACACTGTATCCATTGAGCCAAACCGACTAGGGCTCATCATTGATGTTTCTCTCTCTTTCTCTCTTTCCTTTCCTTTCTGAAATCAATTTAAAAAACATGTTTTTTAAATCGGCTTGGACTTTTCCCTTATTTTCTCATTTCATTTCCTAAAGGTTTCCACTAAGCCACTCCTGGCCAATGCAGAATGGTGTGTGTAGCCCAGAAATTCTCCCACAACAGCTCAGAGCCCACGTCTTGAGTGATCAGGCACTTCCATTTGGAACTAACTCTCCGTCTACTTTTCAGTTGCCCAGACCCAACTATGGACAGGTATGAGAATCCATGAAAGCCTGTTGTAAAACTGGTGGCGAAAAAGAGAATCAGCAAAGATAATTGGTCTGAGACCAAGACTTTCAGACACTTGGAAAGTCAGACACCACAGCACCGCCCCCCTTCCAACCCAAAGATGCACTCTGAGGAGAAAGCATTCCATCATTTCCTGGTATGATCTTGCTAATGTGAAAATACTGCTCTTTTAGCTCCAAGAAATCTGGTGCCAATAATGGGTTTTAGAGAAGAAGGGAGTGGAAGGAGGTAAAATCCTCATGTGGAACAATTTGTCTATGAATAGGATCAAAATACAGAGATGGTAAGCAGGCGACTGGACTGGAGCTGGAAGTCCCGTCTCAGTGCTGTGTGACTTAGGAAAGTCATGTCCCCCAGACATCGCTTTATTTTCTCTACTAAATTAGAAGATTGAGTAAGATGGTCATGAGTTTGTTTGTTTTTTCCAGCTCTGAGACGCAAACAAAGATACTAAAATATTTTTCAAAACCTGAAATAA